ATAAAATGATTCTTCAGGTTCTTCTTCCACTCTATCCCACTTTCCCAAGTTTCAAAGAGTTCCAGTGACTCCTCAATATCTCAGGATGAAATTGAAAGTTCTTATCACACACTAGAACTTCTTTCAAAGCTTCTGTTCCCTGCCCCTTCTCGCTGGCTTTTTCTTAAAACCCTGCACATTTTAGCCATTTCATGTTTCTTATCACTCCTCTGAAGTGCTTATTTGCATTAATATCCCTGAGAAGGTTTTTTCCTTAAATAAAAGATTAGGGTGGAAAAACTGGGGAGAGTGGAAAAGGCATATTACGGGAAGGATAAGAAAATGGTTGCCTATTCTCTAGTTTGAGAACTTCAGACAGGAAATAGGTGTTCAAGACGGTTCTGAAAGATGTTGTGCACTACGCCACAGGAACACACTGACAACTGGGTTAGGGATGGATCCTTGACTTCCTCAAATTACACTGGCTTTGTGCTTGGCAGGAAAGAACTCAACGAGAGATCCCATGAATCTGATATAGAAGACTCATAGAATAGTGGTGTACTTGAGACTGGACTTTCTTTAATTAAAAAAAATTTTCAAGCAGTATATTCTGATCTTTTCCCTCCGACAGGTCTTCCCAGATCCTCCCTACCTCCTTAACTCAACACCCTTTCTTTCTCTTTAGAAAATAAACAGGCAAACAACGTAACATTTTTAAAAAACAAAAAAAAAAACACAAGAAATACAAACACACACACAGAGAACTCAGAAATGCAAAATTGGAAACCATAATATACAAGCAAAAGTACAATAAAACAGAAAAATGCCCAAACAAAGCAATATGAGACAAGAGACTTACATTCTTAACCCCAAGTAAAACTAGGAAGAATGGTAAAGGTGTGTGTGTGTGAGGGGGGTGTCAGAAATCATGGAAGTGATGACTCTGCAACAAACTACATTCCTACTAATAAAAAAAAAGAAAAATCATTATTGTGGGAAGGACTTTTTATTGAGCTATAAATTTTTCTCTACTCCCCCTCCTCTTCCCTTCCCTTCAACCTTCTCCCATGGTCTCCCTGCTCCCAATTTACTCAGATCTTGTCTTTTTCTGCTTCCCATATAGATTAGATCCATGTATGTCTCTCTTAGGATCCTCATGGTTATCTACGTTGGGACTGTGAATTGTAGGCTGATTTTCTTTGCTTTATGTCTAAAAACCACTTATGAGTGAGTACACATGATATTTGTCTTTCTGGATCTGGGTTACCTCACTCAATATGTTTTCTAAACCTATTAATTTGCCTGCAAATTTCAAGATATCATTATTTTTTTCTGCTGTGTAGTACTCCACTGTGTAAGTGTATCATATGAATGTGGGAAGGACTTTAAGGGAGGAAGTGAGATCAACAGAGATGAGAAGATTGGAGAAGGGAGCTTATAATAACCACAATGCATATTACATACATGAAATTGTTAATTTTTCATTAAACAATTTCCCTTCTGCAGTCCTTCCAGATCATTCCCACCCACTCACCCCTTTCTTCCTCTCACTTCAAAAATTAAATAACCAAGCCCAATAAACAGACACACACACACACACACACACACACACAGAGTCCTACAGAAACAGAGTCAGAAACCATAATACAAACCAAAGACCAATAAGACAAAATGTCCAGAGTGATATGAGACAGTCTACAAAAGCACCACTGAGTTCATTTTGTGCTGGCCATCTGTCACTGAGTCCTATCCTTATGAGTGGCTAATATGAGACTCCAGCGAAGAAAGTTAATTTTTCCTCTGCAAGCAGGTGTCTTAGTTAGGTTTACTACTGCTATGATTGAAACACAATGACCAAAAAGCAAGTTGGGGAGGAAAGGCTTTATTGGCTCACACTTCAATATGGCTGTTTATCATGGAAAGAAGTCTGGACAGGAACTAAAACAAGGCAGGAACCTGGAGGCAGAAGCTGATTAGACACCATGCCTAACTGGCCTGCTTTCTTATAGAACCCAGGATCACAAGCTCACGGATGGCGCCACCCACAATAGGTTTAGTCTTCACTCAACAGTAACTAAGAAAGCGCCTTACAAACTTGCACACAACACTCCATCTTATGGGGGCATATTCTCAATTGAGGCTCCTTCCTCCTAAATGACTCCAGCTTATATAAGTTGACATATCTAGGATGGTGGGCATCAATTGCAGACAGCTTCTTGGTCAAGGATGCAGTCTGTCTACTTCCCCCTTTCATTGCTGGCACCATCTGGTTTGTACCTGTGCAGGCACTGTGTATGCTGCCGTGATGGTTTAAAAGGAAACAGACCCCAAAGGGAGTGGCACTATTAGGAGTTGTGGCTTCTTTGGAGCGGGTGTAGCCTCACTGGAGGAAGTGTGCCACTGTGGAGGAGGGCTTTTAGGTCTCATATATGTCCAGCATTTTGTCTCCCAAAGAGAACACAGCAAGTTTGAGATTAGCCTAGGATACCATGTGACCATGCCTCCAACCTACCCAAACTGCTAAGAATCATGATTTTCAGAGCTCTGAATAAACGATATATTACATTAACTCAATAATGTACATTTTAAGCATACAGTGAGTCAGTAACCTAAAATGTAAAATTCTACAATGCAAACGTTCAGTTATTTAAACCAGTCATACTAAATTATACCCAAGTTTTCCTATTTCTAGTTAAATAAAAACAGCCATCAGATAAATAAAAGTATAAATTTATAAAAAGTATAAATTATATAGTCCAATATAAAAATTTCTAGTTTTGCCACGAATCACAGAGCCTGTGCACTAGTCTGCAGGAGGCTCTCTGTATACATGCGGTGGTTGTTTAGTTTGGGGTTTTTGTGGGACTCCTAAAAGTGGGAGTGGGGGTGTCTCCAACCCTTTTTTGCCTGTTCTCAGGACCTTTTTCCTGCTACTGGATTACCTCATTCGGCCTATATGAGGATATGTGCCTAGTCTTATTGCATCTTGTCATGCTGTGGTCAGCTATCACTGGAAGTCCTCTTTTCTGAATGAAGGGAAATGGAGGAGCAGTGGATCTGGGAGAGGAGGGAGGTGGAAGGAAAGAGAGGAGAGGAAGGGGAAACTGCAGTTCGGATATATTGTATGAGAGTAGAATGAAAAAATAAAGGAAAAAATTCAAGTTTCCTTAAAATACACAATTATATGTAATTAGAAAAGACTGAAAAAGATTAAGAAATACTTTTGGGTAAAGGAAACTGTCAACATAATCTGAAAATACCAACAGGTGGCTGTGTATTTGTGTGAATGTGTACGTGTGTGAGTGTTTACATGTAAGTAGGTACAAATTTTAACAATTTCATCAAGCACCATTTTTATTAAGAACTTTTGCTGTTTAAAAACAAAACAAACACACATATAACTCACGATTTACACCCTTTAAAGATGTATTTTTAATCCCCAGACTGACTACCATCAAGCTTTCTACACCTGTGAGATGTATCCCTACAATGACACGCAAAAAGAGGATGTAATATTTGTAATAACATTAACTATGAAAGAAACATGTTGAACGTGAGAAAAGAAAGCCAAGTCAGACCAGGTGAGGAAAGGTTACAAGGGGGACTTGTGAAAACATTTTTATGAGTCTATGGATCACCACTGTAAGCACTTTATAATAATTTCACTTTCAGACTCCATAGCAGCCACTCATAGTCATGAGTGCAGTATTTTTGAACTTATCATTCAACATAGGAAGACCTTTTTGGTCACCAAATGGAAGAGAAAATTCAGCAGTAGAGAAGCAGAAACTAAGGACAAATAGTAATTAAGGGTTGTGTATGTATGGGAAGAGGCACTGGGGCTAATAACACACTTGAATCATGGCTGACCTTAAACAACTTCAAGAAAGAACGGAGGGTAGACAGCGAAAGAAGAAACGTGGCTACTTCTTCACTAACAGTTTCACAAGTCTCAACTGTGTATGCATGGTGGATAAATATCTTATGTATATAAATATAACTGTTACAAGATGTAGGATAATTTTAAAACATTAACAACTGTTTTTATTAAGACTATTTTATTTTTAAAAATTTCAAAATATAAAAATAATAAACATGGATATTTAATAAACAAAACAACATAATTCAACTATAAATAATAGAAGTGTTGACAACCCACATAAACACAGTCACTATAAACATTCTGTGCATACAAGAGTAATTTTCAAGTTCAAGTTTTACCTTTTCAGTTCAAGTTTTATCATCACTTTTAAAAATAGACAAGGAAGCTGCTACAGCTTAACCAATTACTTTCGCTCCACTCAAAGAGCAGGGAATTTCCCCCATGCCAACACGCATTCATGAAATGGGATAATTATGGGCACAGGTACTAACCACTGGAACAACCCAGTCTTTCAGACAAGAAAAGACTCCTTTGGTGTTTTCAGATTCAACAACAGTCCATAGAAACTGAGTAAAAACAAACCACTTATTAAAGGCAGTCTTGTGCCAGACAGCATGTTCAGATAAAGTATGGTCAGAGTTGGGATTCTGAGAATCAGAAGTAAACATGCCAGAGTGCTCTGCTGATACTTCACTGTGTCTCATGAACACTCACTAAGGTGCTAGAATAAAGTCTTGGGGGCAAAACGGAAAATGCACATCAAGGGAAAACTTATACAATGTAGTAACTCATCACATACTCTGTAAGTATCTGTAGGAAACACGTTGCCTTCCACTGAGCAAAGGACAGACAAGAGTTTAAAGCAGAGTATAATGACATAATTATTTTATGACTAGAAAAGTTTTCCATTTCAAATGAGGGGAAAACCATGCTTGAATATATCACCTTAAAATTCTAATCAAATTAATAGCCTTCGTCTTATCAAAATAAACTATTTTCTTTTGGGAGAAGCTGGGCAAAAATAAGGGTACAGTCATTCTGCATCATTTTCTTAAATTATTAGGTGTTCACTGATGGGGCTGGGCTCTTACCCAACTTAACACATACCACCCACTTCATAGATCTGCAGCTAGCGGGATTATTGTAAGCGATAATAGAGTAAAGCCTAACAAAGACTAGACAACAGATTCAATGACACGAAAAGGTTTTATAGCACCAATGACTGTTTCCTAAGACACTTGAGGGGACTGTATCACTTTAAAGTATTATCTTGTAAACAAGACCAAAAATATTTAATTGATCTGTATTTTGAGCATAAATATTTATAAATTCTATTAAAAAAAACAAATATAGCATGGCTAGAGCGACAATAGTGTAAAATCTAAGTATATTGAAAAATATAAAGATATATAAAAGGCTTCCATAATGCAGTCATGCAGAGGTAAACTGCTCCATTCAACTACACACAAAAAAAGAACAATTCTATACAGTTATGTACAAATCACTCCATGACGAGTTTATTCAAAAAAAAAAAGTTAAAAGCAAATCTCTAGTAACCAATGTTTAAGGATTTAAGTATAACTGACCAACTGACTCTCACAACAATTTTCAAAAAAAACCCACTGATGTTAAGGAGATGTCAACTTGACTTTTCATTCCCAAGGGCACATTCCACTTTGTTTTGCTTTTTGATTCAATAGCAAAAAGAAAAAGTAATAGCCAAATAAATTTAAGGTAACAGTATGTAGCACTCACCAATGAAACCATCAAAGAGTTACTGGCAGGTATAGTCTGTTCGGACATGTTCTTTGGCTCTAACTTAAGCATCCACAACACTACCACTATAAAGACTTCTTTGAAAATAAAAAATATCAATTATTCTGGTATGAATTCCTAATGGATATCTAATAATTTGTGGAAAAGAGTAACAAAAAAGTGTGTGAGGAGAGAGGGGTAACGAAACAAAATGCCTTGTAGGCTATTATGTAATAATTACCTAAAATACATGCTTTACCTTTAACCATGCATGTATAATCAATGTGGATCAAGATAGACAATTTATAACATGACTAATGAGTTTGTTACATATTATTATTCATGAAGACAATCACAATACATACTCAAGAGGGAAAAAGTGTTTGTAGGATATCAGCTTTGTATAATAAAGTATAACTGAATAGAACTTTAAAAAAAAGCAGAATCAATATAATTTGGTTTTACTAAAGAGTAGCTATGATACTAGATTTCTCAAATACCTCTAAGAATCTGATGATGAATACTCAAAACAATTAGTAAAAAAAAATTGGTGTGCTATAAAAAGGGTTTTGTTAATATTTAGGATGAGAACGTTCTAAGTTTAAGCTATAGTGCTTATTATTAGTACATATACTTTTAAAGCAGCTGAAAACTAGGCTTTAAAAATAAACACTATTTCCCCTTGCTTGTAAGATTGTCTTTGATGTCTTGATTTTAAGTGATGAAAATTGTATAAATTAGACAAATTTAGTAGATATACAATTTTAAAACACATAGGTCATTATTTATTACTTGAAAAGAAATAAAATTATTTTCCTTGTTTTTGAAGAGTAGAACAACAACAAAATTTCACTGAAGTAAGTGGTCCTGGCAATCACATCAATTTATACACTTACACTTACAGTAACAGACAAATTAATTACAATGTGTAAAAAGTACTGTATAGTTGTCTCAAAATTATTTTAGTGGCAATCCTAATTCAATAAATACATCTCAAAAATAAGAAAAATTAAAGCCAAACTTATGTTTAACTTTTTTAATTCATTTTCTTCATTTTAAACTGTTCAATTAATGCTTTCATGGCTTTATATTTACCAGACACAATTCTCAGTTTGGCTGAGATGGACTATATTTCATAAGGAAACTAAAAGGCCTTGTTCCTTCCTAAGGTCTTTTACAAATTAAACTGCTATAAAATAAGGAAAGAAAACATTTATGAATAAGGTCAGAAATATCACATATTTGATACACCTCTGGACCGAGATGTGCTTGTACAGACTGTAAAGGTAAAATGGTCATCACAGTACATGTAAACATAAACAGCTATTCAGATGGGAAAGGGCAAACCCAAATGACAGGATGATGATGTTAACAGTCATCTCCAACAGGATGGGTCAGGACAGGGCTTGCTCATGTCGTCACAAAGCTAAATTCAGGCAGTGATGTTCTCTCTCTGCTGGAAAAAGAGAACACTTATTAAAAAATAAAGAAATAAATAACAGGAAAACTCCAAAATTGAATTGCAGCATGAACTAACTCTAACTTACTAAGACATTTTTAAAAGTCTACTTGAGAAGGATCGAAAGTTACAAATTGTATCCTAAACTACCTTTGGATTTAAGTGATTTTTAACAAAACCTCTCTATAACATGCTTTCTAAAAATATTAGGTTTCAATTTCATAGCACTACAAAACAGCTGTCATTGAAACTGGGGGAGGGGGCTGGACCATCTACTAACTGGTCAGGTGGTATTTTTACACAGAGTTGTGAACAGGCAAATAGATTTTTAAAAATCACGTACAAGTCTCAAGTCATTGTAAATAAACCAAAAACAAAAACAAATTTCTTAAAGTTTCCCAAGGATTTTCAAAATAACCATAAGGATACCTTATTTCCTTAAACTCCATACAATTATCATTTCTTTATTCTATATAACTCAAAATTCTAAACCAAGCACCAAGTGTAATAACAAAAATTTAAAAAGGAACACATAATGAGACAGTGCCTGGGATGAGTGGATGAAATAAAGAAATAGGAGATTTAGATCAAATATAAAAAGATATATAATACATGAGATCAAATATAAAAAGTTGATACAAAAAAGTTTTAAAGTGTTCTCACTTAAGTAATGAACACAGAGTACTAATAAAGTATACCCAGTTAGATGCTTTTTACTAAGCATATCTGCTTCCATTAGAAATTACTGATAATGGCAATCATGGCCAGTATTTTTTTTCCCTTTCATAAAACTGGGTAGCTATTTACAAGATTATAATTCTGTGTGATAAGAGACAAAAAATAATAATACCACCCTTTTTTACAGCAATACAAGCACGCCGTGGAGCAGCTTTTTTTAGTTCAGAGAACTGACAAAAGTGAGCTCCTTATATCTAATGTAAGAGAAGGGTGTGTTCTTTTTGGTTTATAAGTATTTTATACTTGTGGCTTAAAAATCTATGTTAAGTGTCCAATTTTAGTTCATAAAATTTTAGAAGAAAAAATTGTCCTAAGAAAAAACCCAGAGTGAGTAATCCAAAACTTCTTTTAGGACAACCTTGTTTTGAAGGCTTATTGAGTTTTTAAGGGGGATAGGGATACAGATATTTATACAAATACTAGAACTAAAACTAGTTTTCTGTAATGAGCCTATATTCATTGTAGAAGGGAGAAAACATAATTTGGCAAGACCTGCACAGTACTCTGAGACAGTCACTGATATTTCAACAAATCCAATAAGCAAACATTTGATTTCTTTTTGAGCCATTATACCCAAAGGTCAATGTTGCAAGTAAAATTTGAATACAGCCCCTCTTCCCGCTCCCCAGAAAACAGTCCTGGTTACAAGATACCTACTTCAATGAGACTTAGCCATACTTGCTATATGTAATCAGCTAAAACAGTGGTGTCTTTTCTTCATAGTAAACTACTGGTTTGTTACATATGATCATATAACAATAGAACAGAACCTATGGAATAGTCTTCCATTTCTTGCAACATGTTTTCATTAAGTGTTGGGGCATCAGTTACTTGTTAAAAAATAAAATTACAATTTTCCAATAACATATAAAACATTGTTTAGAGATTAAAAATATGCAAAGTGACAACCATCCCTTGAAGTAATCCTAATCAATCTTTTAACCAGAAATATATCATTTCCCCTATAGTTGCCTACCTTGTCTCTAATCTTTTCCCCACTCCCAATCTACCTGCATAGCCAGATAACCAGATACGTACAACAAAGCAGCAAACTTATCAGGAGAGCTGTAGAATTAAAAAGGTTTCTCCTTTTAGGTGACATATTGTAGAAGAAAAAAATGGAGATGGAAAAGAAGATATAAATCTGCATTTGTTGAAAACTGGTATAATAGGCAAATAGTTTTATTTTTAAACCAAGTTTAGAAGCAAAGAGTAAAGTTATAAATGGGAATGAGTAGAACTTGTAAATACAGAAGTTTACTTGTACTTTATAGGTTAAATGGCAAACTTGTGTTGGCAAATGCAAGCATTTGGAAACATACATACAAAACTTTAGCAAAGAGGTATTATGTAAATTATTAGAATCAAAGTTAAGGTGTTTCCACTGATGAGAAAAAGAACATCAGGTAGGAATATCTGGCTTACAGATACAGATGTATTTTGAAATTAAACACTAATGTATCATCAGGGGCAGTGGAGAGATAAAAGAGACGTCAGAGATCATTTGGTCCAACCCTTTTCATTTTATATATAAGGAACAAACTCTGGGAAAGGAAAGAGACTTGGCCACAGAGTTATCTACAACAGCTGAGAACAAAAGATGAATCTCTTAAACCTTGTTCAGTTCTCTAAACTAGGTCATCTATGGACCAAGAGAAATTTAGTGAAATGGTCTAGGTTGGTGGCTTTCAGCATTTCTAATCATGCATTCTAATAAAAAAAAAAAAGCAAAGATAACCCCTAGAAATGACTACAGTCTTTAATATTACACCATCTAGATGCCTTAACTGGGGACATGTCAGGATTGGTTCTAAGTGTCTACCTCAATCACTACTACCCCTGTGATGAGACACATAGCTCTATCACTTTATAAAATGGCCCCGGTGACTGAGGAGACTATCCAGAGATTTTAGAAAATTGATAAGAATTAACAAGGGAGGTAATTGTCAACCTCATTACTATAAATTTAAATATGCATCCATTCATTATTTCATCCAACAAACATCTAAGTGCTCACATGAGCCAGGCTTTACTATAAGCACTAGAGATAAAAAGATGAATAAGACATGGTCCCCTTCCTAGAGGAGCTTGCAATCAATCTAGTGGGGGAAGACAAACATATAAACCAGATAAATTATGTTACAACATTAAATATTATAACAGAGATATGAACAAAGCGCTTTTTAAAAGGGTAAACATGTCTAGTGACCAAAGAGTTTACTAATTCTGTGCAGTATTCTGAGGTAAAGTTTATCATGGTTACTATAAACACAATCTCACGGTCAGTCAGTAACAAGGGAAAAGACAGCAGCGGAGTTCTATAGTCTTTTCTTGTTCTGTAAAGTTGGTACTGAAATCACAAAGCTTATATCTAGTTCTTCCACTTGCTCACTAGGACTTTAGGTAAGCCACTCCATTTCTAGCAGCTTGTTTTCTTCTTAGTAAAATGAGAACTACCATCTACTTAAAAGAGGTGTCATAGGTTTTAAATAAAAAATATAAATGTGGACATAGAGTACTAGTATTTATAAACATATTCATGAATTAAAAACCCAGTAGCAATGTATCAGTAAATATCATTTATAATAAAAGCCAGACTAATTCTTATAAAAGTACACTGTAAATCTAATGAATACTGGGAATATGTAACCCTTATGCTAGGGAACGATAACAAGCCGTAGTTGGTCTTCTGATTGATCCAAAGCACCATGCCTTAAAATTAAGTTATTAGGCAATTTCAGGCTAGGGAAGTTGATGAGCTATTCCTGATCTTTAAAGTAAACTGGTAATTTCAGTGACATTTCTAGGGAAATTTACAATAAAATTTGAAACTATAATCAAGTCATAAAGCCAAAAATAGAATGGAGATTTAACTGGCCTTGGAAAGATTTACTTTCTTTATAATACCTGTTTGGTGTAAAGAGAAGAAAGGTGAGCCTCTGCCAATTTGGCATCTTTCACGACTACTAAAAAGAAAAGAAAACAAACTTACCTAATGAATGAGAATAACACATAATAAACACACAAGAGACTACATAAAATACACCACAGTCTAAGCAAACTTTACAGTCATTATTGTAGCAAATGGAATCTAAGTTTGAAATTTTATATATAAATGTGTACTAACTGCAAGTCAAACATTCCTATAAAATAGTACTGTCATAAAAACATACAACTATAAGTCCAGTGGGAAAAAAGACAAAAACACCATCTGAGTTACTCTCCTGCAAAGACTGGTACTGGTGGGATTAGGTTTTGATTGTGTTGGCCCCAAAGTGGAAGAAAGTAGTTTAGCTTTGTTAAGAGGTATTTTAAAAAAAAACATAATCTTGAGAAGCAGAAATACTTGAAATGAATATAAAGACTTTAAAAAGATAAATACAGTCATCTACCCTCATTCTACAAAGAATATATTGCCTGAAAATGATTTAGCTAACTTTCAATAATTATATTTACGTGCCAGGGAATTCCACTTAAAAAATCACAGTATTGTTGCAAATGTGAAAGATTTTTATATAAGTATAGTAAATGCACACTTAAAATATCAGACTGGAACACTTACCAAACAGTGTTTTCCTAAAGAGGTATCTATAGTACATTCTTTATTCATACATCTTCAAATGGTCAAGTTCTCTTTCATACATCCAAAATGTAATATGAAGTTGTCTTAGTCACCAAATGTTAGCGCTACTTGAAGTCTGGTTCCAAACTAATCAGCCTGCTTTTAAATTTTAAGACATCTGTTGAAAATGTATATGATCAAACCAAACTGAAGTGGTATCAATTTTAGACATTGGATTGTACATCATTATAAAGGTACCAGTACCCATTATTACTTTATGATTATAGCTCCTTTTGATAGTCAGGGGAAGGTAGATCATCATCTGGAATGGTCTGTTTCATTTTCTCTTTTTTTTCTTTTTTTTCTTTTTTCTTTCTTTTTTTTTACTTTTTCTTTTTTTTTTAAATCAAGGAACATTGTCATGGATTTTTTTTCATTGCTTTTTTTTCTTTTCTTTTCTTTTAAAAGACCATTCCACTTTATTTTTAGCATCCAGATGCATAAGGACTCATATGTAAAGCAGTCATACACCATTATCATTAACACCCATGTGATAAAATACATACACAAATCCAACAAACGGCTAATACATAGTAAAGCCTAAGCATACTACTATGTAATATTATGAATACATAACTTGGAGACTTTAGTTAGAGTACTATGTCATCTATTCATTTTTTAAAACATTCATTAAGGTTTTAAATGCAAACTCATTCCTTATTTGGAGTAAAACAAAATCTTCTATGTTATGACAAGAACTGGGTCATAAGTATTCAAATCTATTCATTAATTTACAAATAACCCAAAGAATTCTGTAATGTTCAATAGAATTATGTAATAAAAACATTGCATATGTTCTATTGTGATGTCTTTAGCAATTGTTTACTGAAATAAAATGCAAACATCAATCTTTTAAAATACAAGATCAGAAGGTAGTTTTCTTCTCTTTTATCTATTTGTGAAATCCATCTTCATCATATTTTACCAAAAATTGTTTTTACAAACATGTAAAAGTACATTAGATAATACTAATGAAACACAGGTAGAGTCCTAGCATATGCAGATCAGTGATCAGTCAAATCATCTTCTCCAAGAACGAGATTCATTGTCCTCTTCTTCTTCATCATCATCTTGAAGTAATGAGTCATCCACCAAAGACTCTTCCTGAAACTTTAGGTTAAGATGTATTTAGGAATTTACCCAAAATAAAAAAAGAAAAAGAAAAAGAAAAAAAAGAAAAAAAAGAAAGAAAAAAAAAGTAACACTTTTAAATACTTTCTCGCTCAAGAGTTGAATACAAACGGTTATTTCTATAGCTAAAACATGTCCTTATTCACTCAGTCTCTCTATAGTATGTTTTACTGCTTACATGAAGCAAGCAATAAAGATCAAATTAAAATTTTGTACATGCCACTTCTACTCTGACAAATCATGCCATCTGCTGTACTTTAAAATACTGTTCAATCCTTCTTTAAAAAGGGAATCATCAATTTTCACTAACTTACCCTAACTCTCAACACTCAACCAAACAATGACTTATAAAAATTCTACCACAATTTCAATTTGATTTTTGCTATCTATAAAATATGTTGAAGGAAAACCAAACACCTCTTTCTTTTCCCCATTCCCTCCATAAAAACTTCTCACACTGCTTTCCCAAACTTCAAAATACCTAATACCAGGAGCTCTCCTGCTTTTCTCCCCATTCAATTCAAACTCAGGGAAGGACAAAGGTATAATCTAAAATATAAAATGACAAATCATGTACATGAGTTTCAAATACACATTTATTCTTGCATTTGACTATGGATATGCATAACAGACTTGAAATGCTCTTCAAACAAAGTAAAGCACCATTATGGAACTCTAACAAATATAAAACAGAATCTTTTACTTTCTTACCTTTATTTTTTAACTTCTTCAAATTTTTTCTATAACTTTTTTCATGATTAAGCAAAACACAATTGCTTATTTTAAATTCTTTTGTCTTAAAGGCTTTTATCACTCACTGTCTTACCTGCCAAACCTTTATTCCACTGAATAGCTGGTGTTACCTGAGAAAAATGCAATCTCCCATTCTTATTCTGAAGCTCAAATTCTGCTGAAAATGCCTTTCTCAACTACATTTCCAGTGCCAGCACATAGTTACAGAATACTACTATATTCAGGACTCGGCTCCATTAGTAATAAGTCTTTAAGAGTGTTCTGGACAGACACAATTAGTCTTGCCTGAGAGCTCCCACAGCATGTTGTCCAAGTCTGCATTCGGCACATCAATATGCCTGCTTTTGCAATTAGTTCCTTCTGTCTCTGTCACCACCCTCTTTTCCAGATTATAAGCTCCTTGATGATAGGGACCGTGTCTTATTCATTTTTGAGCCTATCACAAAATCTACCACATAGCAGGTAGTCATTCTAATGTACTAAAGCAATATGAATTTAAAAAGGCTAAAATGTTGATACAGCAATTGAGTATATTAAATACCCTAAAACATAATATATTACAAGATTTCCTGTGAACAAAAATCTAATGAAGAATTATTATCTTCTGGAGGAATTGAAAACTGATATATCACATATTCTTTTTAGGTTAGCCATCAGCAATTCTTCTCATTAATCCATAAAATATAAAGTTGTCTGAATTTATCTGATCTCTTCTGGTTGGAATATGGCTTAGGAATAAAAGTATTATGTTAAAATCACAGCCATAAAAATACCTTTTATAAAAGAGTTATGAATAATGATGAGAAAACAAGTGAAAAAAAATATAACATACTTCCTCTTCATCAGGTTCAACTTCTTCCGTTTCCACAGCTGAAATATTGGTTATTGGTTTATTCCACGCCAGTTTTAAATCCTGCCCCTTGAAACGAGCTCCATGAATTGCAGCCTAAAACAAGTAAGAATATGGGAGTGAAGAGTATTCTCATAAGCAAGTACTATTTCACTCTTGGTCAAATTTTAGTAAAAATTAGTATGTTTGCCGACTTACAGCCCAATGACAACTACTACTCAGACAACAATCCCATTATCCACCAAGAGTTCAGCTCTAGCTTCTAACGTCTATTTTAAGATTAACATACTAAATGAATTTTGCTTCATTCACTGTCAATTTACATCTGATATATATAGTAACTATTACCTAGAAACCTTTAACAAATTAATGATCAAAATCACTGTAAAACGATGCATAACTAACACAAACTATCAACACCTTAAGAAAAGGGGACAGTCACAGCTCTGAACTTATCTACAAAAAAGCAGTGTTTCCTATGAAAAGGTTTTGAAAATGATGGTGATGACAGCTGCAAAAATGTTCAGGTCTAAGGTTCGTGCGATAGTCAGTAGCAAGTATGGAAACACCACGTTTAAAACAACAAGAATGAACAAAAATCAATGCTAGCAACATTTTAAAGTAACTCATGGTCACAAAAGATTTATAGTACAGACTCAAAAGTACAGAATAGTATGAAGCATAGAAACAATTATATATATACAGTAACACCTGAAAATCTGTTGTATGTAATATTAATGGCCCAATGTACAAATTTTAAATACATACATACATATGAATGTTTTAGTTCAGAAAAAACTGAAAACTGAAGCTGAAATCATTACATAAGTATATCAGATTACTTTTAGGAATAATAAACACCACATGCAAAATACCTACAAAATTTTTTTCTATTTAGCCAAAAACATAAATATAAAATGTACAAACTATGATCAACAACCTATACAGTAAATTTTAGGTAAGCAGTTGATTTTGTTTCTGGGGGGAAAGTTCTTTGCTGTGTATCTCTACCTAGACTTGAACTCACGCTCCTCCTGCTTCAAAGTCTCCTACTAAAGAACAATACAGTTGCATAATACTACACCTTGCAACAACAGGTTACTGACAAGTTTTTCTAACAAATGAATTTTGTCCATTTCTATATTCAACACATATTTCAAATATGTAACGTAGACTTTTGTTTTTCCCAAGACAGGGTTTTACTCTGTACCAGCCCTGGTTGTACTGGAACTTGATCAGGCTGGCCTCGAACTTACAGAGAATCACCTGCCACCACTTCCCAAGTGCTGGAATTAAAGGCGTGCACCACCGCTGCCTGGCATAGGGTGAACTTTTATCTTTATATCATTTTAATTTTTTAAAAACTGGATGGAGGGCCCAGTAGTCTCCAAAACACCACTATTACCATTGCTCTTGGATACTGGAGGTTTTTAAAAACTAGGTGTTTTCAATTTTTAATTAATTTTGTTCTTTAGAAACTTTTTTAACAATCCAGGCTATATAAACCTGTGAAACAACTTTGAATTTTGTTCCCTGAAAATAAAAATTTAATTCAAGGAACCTAAGCTTTTCTTATAAAACCATTAAGTTCCATTATTTTCATTGTAGTAATATCTATTTATAATAGCCTTTAAGAAATTAGAATGTAATCCAGGTAATTTAAAACACAATTATTTCTGTAACTCACCCATTTTATCTATCTGTCTGTCTGTCTATTTACCTATCTATCTGACTTTTCAAGACAGGGTTTCTATTTGTTTACTTATTTTTTTCTGTTTTGTTGGTTTCCAAGGCAGGATTCTCTGCATAACCCTGCCTGTCCTAGAACTTGCTCTGTGGACCAGGCTGGCGTCACATTCAGATCTGCCTACCTCTGCGTCCCTAGTGCTGAGATTAAAGGAGTACACCTCTACATCCAGGTTCATTTTATATTTTTTTAAAGTCAGATTTAAGTAATATAGTATAAAAATTATTATTCATAATTATCATTATTATAAGGCTAAGAGACAGCCACCACTATATAATTTGGGACAGAGGGCAGTGCTAGTGGAAGTTGGAAGAGTACACAGGATCCCTAGGAGGTGGAGTTAAAGGTGTTGTGAGCTGTCAGATACTATTCAGAAAAGAAATTCACAAAATAGGTGAAGTGTGTAAGGTTTAGAGACATAAAAAGATAGTTTTGGGTTGGTAATACAAGTTAAGATAGAAAGTGAATTAGTACAACACTTGAACATACCAAGGTAGGGCAGATAATGGAGTATTTTCTCTGAATTTGTCAATTGCAAACAAACTAGATATTGTTAATGTAATTATTATCTGTATATGTTTGTATGTAGTTATTGTATATAATTTTACTATGTTAGCTAAAACCATCACTTTTTATTTAGACAAAAAGGGGGAAATGTGTAATATTATTTGTGTTCTTACATCTAAAGCTTGCTTGGAGTCAGAAGGTGGAGCTAGCCACTGGTTAGCCATAAAGAGGAAACAGGAAGTGATAAGGCAGGGGCAGAGAGAAGACCCTTTGGGAGGAGCCCCAGGCAGAGGCAGGAAGTCACTGGTGACTACTCTGCTGCTTCTCTGATGTTTCAGGTTTGTACCCTAATACCTGACTCCTGGTTTTTATTGATAAAGATTAACTAGATTAACACTTCACCTGAGTGCTAGAAACTGAACTCAGATCCTCTACAACAGCAATATTCACATTTAACCACCAAGTCACCTTTCCAGCTCCTCATTAACTTTTTAAACAATGAAGCCAGCTTGGATTTTTCTAATAGAAAAGAATTTTATCATAATTATGGAAATGTATTTTTGCAAAATAATTTACTATATTTTTAGAAAGTAGTTATTCTTTTATTTTAACAAGAAAGTTTTAAATTTTTATGTATTAGAAATTATCAGTCTTTTCCTTTGTAAATATCATGTCACGACTTAAAAAGTACTTACTAAATTAAGGTAATTTAAAAACAATTTTTATATATGTGTGTCTGAATGCCTAAGCATATATATATGTACATGTGTATACAGAACAGCTGGTGACACAGGGTGTCTTCCTTAGTTACTCTCCGCCTTACTTTTTTGAGACAAAATCTCCCATTAAATATAAAGCTCATCAATCTTGCTAGAATAGTTGGCTTGCTAGGAAACCCGAGGTTTCTAGCTGTATCTACTTTCCCAATGCTGAGATTACAGACTACCACTTTCCATGGCTAGCATTTCGGAGTGCTGGAGATGACCTAGATCCTCATGTTTCACACGACAAGTACTATACTTATTACATCATCTCCACAGGTACTTAGGCTGTAGATTTATTGTCGTGTGTGTGTGTGTAAAACTGTATGCTATGTGTAGGTGCTTCAGAGGCCAGAAGAGTGTCAGAATCCCTGAAGCTGGAGTTACATGTGATTATATAATCAGTTCCATGGTACTTTGACTCAACCGTGGGTCATCTGAATAGCAGAAGGTACTTTGAACTGCTGATACGTCTCTCCAGCCCTGTTTTGGGCTTTCTTGAGGCAGGATCCTCTGGGTTTTAAGTCAGGCTGTCCTCAGATTTCCCATAGACTTTAGCTAACAAATATTTTTGTTGTTTTTCAGTTTGTACTTGAACTATAAAAAAAAAAAGAGAGATAAAATATTTTGTTTTCTGTCCACCCCTCACCAAGTCATTGTCCAAATACATTTATTGGATTTTTTATTTGGTACCTTTAAACAGCTCTTTTGTGAGCCTTTAAAATCCATAAATATGTATAATACACGGACACCTATTTCTAAATTCTACTTTGTTTTATTTTCTACATCTATTCCAATTCATAATTTATGATAAATTAAATACTATTCTTTGTTCATTTATATTTGTCACTAATTGATGTTATTCCTACTTGTGGCCAAATGCAGTATCACATGATCTTTAACAGGTGTTAGTTAATGACATCCTCTCAGATTTAGTATTGTTTTCATATAGTATACTAAGAACAGCAAGAGTTCTGCAAGTATCTCACAGAAATGTAAGAAGGAACTTCATAGATATTTCTAAAATGCGAACAAGTATCACACAAGTACTTTTACATGTACTTTCTATAAGACACTTAAGGAAAGTAGTGTAGTGTGGTGACGTTTGTGCTATAACAAGTTTGCCTGAAGATCACAGTGTGGAGCTAAGTCACTACTAGTCAGATATAGAGGCCAAGCAGTGGTGGCACACACCTTTAATCCCAGCACTCCGGAGACAGGTGGACCCTCTGTGAGTTCAAGGCCTCCCTAAGCCTGAATCTGCCTGAAAGAAAAAACAGCCAAACGGTGGTGGTTCACATGTTTAATCCCAGTACTTGGGAGTCATACGCCTTTAACCCCAACACTAGGGAGGTGGAGACAGATATGGGATATGGCTTGACAGAGAGAAAAATATAAGGTGGAGGGAGACAGGAACTCAAGCATTTGGTCTGAGGACTTGGAGAGAGAGGATACCCTATTCAATCTGAGGATTTTGTGGAGGTAAGAACTAGTGCTGGTTGCTTTGCTTCTCTGATCTTTCAGCTTTCACCCCCTAATAAATGACTCTGGGTTTTTATTATTAAGACCAATTAGAATGTGCATTACAGTGCAGTAATATTAATGGAAATAGGACTATATATAAAAATGCACAAAACAAGAAGAATAGAAAATAGTCCTATCTCAGTATAAACACAATTAAAAATCCACTATATTTTCAAAATCCTCCAAGTTATCAAGATTCATCCAGAAAGGTTGTTTCATTTGATTTGCTTTTTGTTATTATTGTTGCTTTGAGACAGTTCTGTTATACAGCCCTGACTGGTTTCAAATTAACTATGATGACCCTGAATAATGAGATTAGGAACACATGTCATCAAGCCCAGCCTTCAAGGGAAAAAAATTCTTAAATAATTTATAGTTTAAAAAAAAAGTATTATTTCAAAATACTAAAAGAGATGGAAATTTTATCATCATGTTTTGTAGAAGCAAGTACCATTAATATGTGGGGGAAAATTCTTCATGTAAAACTAACACCTCTCAGAGAAAATTTAGTAGAGTTCTACCTAACACACACATATATATACACTATTGTTTTTAAATAATCACAAATTTTTTAAAAAACGTTATTATTATTTTTTTTCTTGATTTTTCAAAACAGGGTTTCTCTCTGTAGCCCTGGCTGCCCCAGAACTTGCTCTGCAGGCCACGGTGGGTAATTAAAGGGTTAAGTACTTCCCACATAAGCATGAGAAGAGTTCAGATCTCTACTACCCAAGTAAATGCCAGGAAGTGGCATTTACTTCCTGGAAGTATGACACTTTACTGGAAGGCATGACAGTCCAGCAGTAATCCCACAATTCAGGGGATCCTTACATCAAGGTGAGCTCATCAAGAGACACAACCTCAATATAAAATGAGAGTAATTAAGAAAGAGACATTGAACATCGATCTCTGGTCTATACAAGCACATGGATACACATGCAGGCGCACCCACAAACATGCAATCACACAACGTACATATGCACACACAGACATAAACTGAAGATATTTCTGGGTTGTCTTTTGAAAGACAATTCAAGCGCAAGGCAGGGGCACGGTGATACATATCTTTAATCCTAGCACTGGGGACAAAGAGATAGGCACATCTCTGTTGAGTTCAAGGCCAGCCTGGTCTACATAGTGCACTCTATGATAACCAGAGCTACACAGCCATAAAGATTCCATTTCAAAAATACAAAACAACAAAAAAGACAATTCAAAGTATATCGATTAAGATAACTATATAACAAGGACTCTAAAAGCTAGAGTCACATATCGTCTCTTGGACAAATAACAGCAGTCTATTCAGGCATATACTAAACAAGAGATGCTTCTGTAGAACTCAACCTGCAGGGACCCGGAACTCATAGGTGAAGGATAAATAAAAAGGGTGGGCAGAATCATACTTTCTCTACATCTACCTTAGATAACTCTTACCATTATTCTACTAATGCAGACTTTGTCCATATAAAACAGTAAACAGTGGAAAGAGTAGCAGCCCTAATTTCTGTAAAAAGAGCTATGACATCTTCAAGTAAAAGGAATTTTAAATTCCACTTGGTGTCTAACTTATATATGCTATATGATGTAGTAGCATTTCATTTGTATTTTAATAAAAAAAAAGTCTGCCTGAAGATCAGAGAGTAAAACAGCCTCAAAGGTCAGCCTTATCCACCAGGCAGTAGTAACACACACCTTTAATCCCAGTAGCCACACGAGTTGCCACAGAAACCGGGAGGTGCATGCTTTTAATCTCAGGGGTACACACCTTTAATTCCAGCCCTAGAGAGGATTATAAAACAGGAGGAGACAGCTCTCAGACAGAGTCTCATTCTGAGATTCCTGGAGGAAAGATCGTCATTTTGGACTGAGGTAGAGGTAAGAGTCACTAGCTGGCTGTTTTGGTTTTCTGACCTTCAGGTTAAACCCCAATATCTGATTCTGAGTTTTTATTATTAGTGCTTCAATATACTGTATTAGTATTATATTTATTATATTATATTAAAACGTTACATACAGATTTCCTAAGAAAATAAAGACATTTCTTTCATAAACACAAACTTGCACTTCAAATATTCTACCTTCTGTCAAGGTACAATTAATCAGTAAACTTGAAATTTATACTAAAACTTAAGGAAATAATAATCATTTAAATCTGAAGTTTTAATTATTTTAACACTTACAGCTTCTGCTTCTGCTCTTGTCTTGAATGTAATTATCGCATGGAGTGATGAGTCGTCAATCTGACAATCCTCAATTTCTCCATATTGCTGTAAATTAACAAATTATTTCCTCAAAATAAATGTTTTAAAATATCTAAAACCCCAACTGCATTAGAACAGTAATAAGCATAACCCAGAATATATAACTTATACAGCTTAAAGACAAATAGTTATTTCATCTAATCCTATCTTCCAATCTCAGTTCTAATTCTATATTTCCCATAATTATGCTCTATTTGAGAAATAATGTATAAAATAATAATAGTCAAAGCCTGAGGTTGCTTACCAATCTTCCTTATTACGCCAACCTCAGGACAAGGTAAATTTGTTCTTAAACAGCATACTGAATTATCAAAACTAGGAAATTCTAGTATCATTTTCAGTAAAAGGGAGGAAAGATTCAGAGAATTCAAGCAATTTTTCCAAGCAGTCAAGAAAATTATCAAGAATAAGATCCAGGCCTTCTGATTGTAAATTCAACAATAATTGAGCATGGGTTCCCTTACTATGCATTCTATTATGGCATACACAATTTACAATACTTAAATACTAACCCAATTATACTATGCCTAATTGGAGTTTGCTATATTTTCCCCAAATTACGGAAGATTTTTCTTAACAGCAAGTTTACTACATGAAGATTAGATTTTTGTATATTACTAACATTTTTCTTTTGTTCCAAAATAAGACTACAGCCATAAATTCATTAAATACAAATTTTTGTGAACTAATTTATACTTGAACAAGTTACTTAATCTCTTCAGGTTTCATGTCCTTACCTTAAAAAAATATGAGCAAAATAGTGGCCAATCTTAGTGTCAACTTGACTATGTGGAATTAACTAAAACCCAAAGATGGGGCACACCTGTGAGAGTTGTTTTGCTTTGTTTTTATTAAATTATTTGAAATGGGAAGACCCATTTATAATACGGATCTTTGAGGTGGGAAAATACACCTTTAATCCAGGTAGTTTGATGTAGGAAGATCCATCTTCAATTTGGACCACACCTTCTGTTGGCAGCCTACATAAGGGACATAAAGAGAAGCTAGCTCTCTCTGCCTACTGATAGCACTCTCAACAGCAAGTCCATTCCTTCTCTGGCAAAAGGTCTACTTTTGGGGGATTTCAGTGTATTACTGAGGCTGAGACAGTCAGTCTTGTGAACTGAACAACTACTGGATTCCTGGACCTTCCATTGGTACAGACAATCACTCTTTAAGTCATTAAGTGATTCTAATAAAATCCCCCCCTCCATGAGACTCATTCTTTTAAGTTCTGCTCCTCTAGAGAATCCTGACAAAATCAAGTGGTCATTCAAGTAATTCTTAATATCCCCCAAAATTTCAGCTGTTTTTATTACCACTGTTACTGGTTTAACTGGATAAATTTTAAAAAGCATTTGCTATACGCAATTGTTCTGTCAATGGTCCTTATGCTCAGAGATAAAAAAGCTAAACTTTGAAATGTGTACTCTTGTTTAACACTAGTATTCTTCATGAGCAAATAATCACTTCTAACTTAGAGCTAAAAATTTCCAAGTTTATGGAACAATTTTTAATCTAAGTTTCTGAATATTTATTTCTCAAACATCTTAGTTTCAGCAAAACACAATTATAACAAACGATTATTTTAGCATATTGATTGCTAATCCCCTAATTAGCTCAATAACTGTACACAAGACAGGTAGATTATCTGCATCTCCTTTCCTTTGTAGAGTGGGACACAGAGGAGGGAAGAGCTGCGTTGCATCGCCAAGCACCTTTCTAGTTCTCATTCTTTATGCTTCTGAATCTAACAAGCACAGGACTCTCCAGACTCCTCAGCCTTAAATATTAATCATGTTAGTTACTTCATAAACATCAATTATTTCTTTCAAAACTTCCTTATATTTGCATAAATATTAACTAAAAGCTTGAAATATAAATGCCAAAAACAGAAATATAAATTTCTAAATGATGAGGACAGCTAATACCTATTCTTCTAGTTCTCAGTTTCAATTTTATTAACTGCTAAACTTTCCTCCACTGATTTTTCATCACACATCAGGGTCAAACTAGTCATTGGGGTCTTTAAGTGTTTACTAAGTTGAAGTTTAGTTCAACTGACTTGTGTCAAAACAATGTACCTTAAAATCTCTGTGAGTAAAGACCTGAGTAAAGGTTCTTCCTCTTTCTGATGTAATTACCAGAATACCTAGGTTAATACTGAAGTCTAGTAACTTATGTTTTGAATAACACTAAACACTGAAATAATTAAAATGAAAGGGTAAGGAAGGTATAGTCTCCATTCTGCATATTAGTCTATGAAGTCTAAACAAACAATAGATGAATAGAGACTAGAATCTCCTTATCTTAACCACTCTATTGTTAGATAAACTCTCTTAAATTTCACCCTTGATCCGAATAAGACAACTTTTAGATCATACATCAAAAGTGTATCTTCCTTCAATTCTACTAGGCTCTATGAAAACCTTATAATTTATTTTCATATTTAAAAATCTAAATGGTCTAGAAAACATGCCAATTTTTCTTTAAGTTATCAACATAAACCGACTCATAAGGTCCCTCTCTGAAACAATGATGCTTAAATAATTAGACTTATAGTATTTAAAGGCCTATCTAGTTTTGAGAATTATAAAATTTTAGCTGGTCCATGGTAAATCACACCTTTAATCCCAGCACTTGAGAGGCAGAGACAGGAGAATCTCTGAATCTGAGGCGAGACTGGTCTACAAGTGAGTTTCCGGACAGCCAGGGCTACAAAGTGAAAGCCTGTCTTTAAAAAAAAAAAAAAAATTATTTCTTGCAAATACTCAGAGACCCTGTTTCTGTTTTATAACTAATAAAAAAAGACTACTGTACATTTTCCTAAATCTACTAACCCAAAGAACAATTATTTGTATTATTTTTGCTAGATGTTAAGAAAGTACCGCGAAATGAGGAAGAAGATCTTCTCTGTCACTCTCTGTAAATGCGGAGATCTCCAAGGCTCTGGGCCGGTGATCCACCACAGCATGTCCAGGAACACCTCGTCCTCGACCTCTACCCCTGCCCCGGCCATGAGCTGCACCGCGACCTCTTGGATGAATTCCTCTACCTCGGCCAGATGAAAGAATTCCTCTTTTAGCAGCCTAGAAAAGAAAAAGTTACACATGCAGTAAGTAGGCGCTTAGACCTCTACTTTGAAAAGCCTAACTCTGTGTTTCTGAGCTTTCAGATTTTAAAATATTTCCACTGACTTTCTTTACTTGTTGAACATAACAAGTAAATTCAATACTATACCTGTGTTAACTCAAGCCATGTATTACAATTTCAAAAATGATTCAGACCTTTATACAATCTGAGAAAGTATTTAGATAACTACAAAACATGAAAAATGTGAAATTATTAAATGTGCTTTTTCTAAAAGTATTTAAAATATAAAAATTTTTAAAATATTTACAATTTTATTACATTATTTTCTGTCTCTTTTCCCTGTCAGCTAGCCAACGTCACACACGGAGCCATCCTGCCACCTCACTTTTCTTCTTCCCTCCCAAACTAAATTCATACTCAAAGCCATCAAGGACACAGGACAAGAAGACTGGTAACCCTGGATCTCTTAGTTCCTTCAAAAGTCTAGTTAATACAGACTGCAGCATGACCTACATAAATAAGAAATACATTTTACATTGAATATACTCCAACCCTTCAAGCTTTATGTAATTTTCAAATGAATGCTATTTCATTTTTGTTGACTAAACTGGTCTAGTAAGTTTTCTCAAATGCAATATTTTGCTCTTACCATAGAATACAGAGTATCAATATTCTACCACACCATTTCTTTCACATGGAGTACCATTCCTTGATTACACCAACATTTCACAACACCTATGTTAGCAGTCATTAATCCTAAGTGCAATTTCAGGCTGTGCAGTTGCCACAGTCGTTAAAATGCTTACCATGTAAGCACCCTACACAACAAGGACATCAGTAGTGGTTTGAAAGAAAACTGCTCCTATAGGTTCATAGGAGCAGCACTATTAGGAGGTGGGGCCTTGTTGGAGCAGGGGTAGATTGTTAGAGAAAATGTGTCATTGGGGATGGGCTTTGAGGTCTAAAATGGCCAAGCCAGGTCCAGGGTGTCACTGTATCTTCCTGCTGTGTGCTGATCCTGATGTAGAACTCTCAGGTACCCCTTCAGCACCATGTCTGCCTGTATGTCCCTATGCTTCCTTCCATGGTAACAATGAACTAAACCCCTGAACTGTGAGCCAGCCCCATTTAAATCCCTTCCCTTGCAAGAGTTGCAGTGGTCATGGTATCTCTTCACAAAAATAGAAACGCTGATTGAGACAACACCATAGTGTACATCTGTAATCTTATTATCAGAAAGACACAGACAGGCAGACCCCTGGGCCTCTTGGCCAGTCAAATCGTTGAGCAGCAAATGAACAGTGAAGCTTGGGTAAGACACTCAACATTAACTTTTGGCATCCAGCCTCCAGACATGCATTAGCACCTGTGCACACATGCAACATAAATACAAATACACATAAACCACATATACAAGCTCAATTTCTAGACAGGTAAATTATTGACACAGGCTCTTATACAAGACTTAGGTTCAACTTCAAACACCCACATGATGCTTGACAGTTCCAAGAGACCCTCTTCTGACTTCCATGGTCATTATCCATACATGTGGTACATATACATACATATATGCAAGCAAACACTCATTCAAAAGAATAAAATAAAACTTGGGAGCAACTCACTTAAAATTTAGTAATTAACTGAATATATAGAGGTTGAACAAAGAAAGGGTGGAATCAAGTCTCCTTTCATACTTCTAATTTGAGTAACTATATATACAAACTTTGTAAGCAAGATAAACACAATGATGAACATGCTGATAAGGGTATTTGACATCCAAGCAATAACATCAAATTATGAGCACCAAAAATGAACACATAAAATTAAATAATGCTTAATGAAATAAAGCAGGCACAGAAAGACAACTACTGTAAGATTTCATTTACACACAGAATTTAAAACAGCAATGTTATAGAAACAGAAGAATGGCTATTACCAAGGGTTGTATTGGTGTGGAGAATAGGGAAATGCTGGTCAAAATGTACAATGGAATAAATTCTACCATCAGTTGTATAGTTTAGTGAGTACAATTAATGATAGTAGATGATATATGAGAAGAGTTAGGGAAGAAAATTTTTGATATATTTTCATAAGATTTGAATATGTATGAATTACTTTGATAACTCATCTTGTGATGTATACATATACTGAAACATCATGCTACATACCATACACATATACAACTCTTAACTGGTCAATTAAAAAATACTGAAATAAAATAATATAGTTTAAAGGGGAAAGGTTATTAAAATTAAACATACGAAAAGTATGCCCTGCAGAATATTAATGACACACAAGATAATCCCTGAAAATTAAGCTACAGCAAGCCTATAATTTGGAGATTCAAACTAAAAGCCTCTAAAAAATCCTAAAGTCAAATAGCATATTCATATGACCTTTTCAAATTATATTTAATCTTAGAATGTGTGCTAATGAGTCTCTATTAACGACAACAGAATCACTATAATGCGCATATTCTGGAATCTACTACATTACTGCATATTTGAGTATTACTGAAAACCAAAGCTGAGTCACCATAAAAGAACAGAAAATACCATTTTACCTTTGGCTGAATTACAACAAGTAAAACACAGAACAGTAAATTTTTATGTTATTTTTATTTATTTATTGTTATTTACTTACTAAAATCATATGTCAGAAATTTTACAATACTAATGGTACTAATAGTACAAAATATTTTTATGGAGAAAATAATTTTAAAATTAATGCAAGAAACCTATTGTTTTGGGCAGAATATGTAGGCAAACCAGATCATATTTCAAGGGAATGCAAGTGTATACATGTTTAGGACAAAATTTCACAGCTTTTTCTAACTCTCACATAAGACCTAGCCCAGGACATGATTCTAAAAGTTAAATCTTTAAAACTTACACGACACTAAACAGATTTTTACTGCATTGTAAGGTGAGAGAAAAAAAAATCAGTGTCAACATACCCTGTAAGAAAAGTTTATTCTAATTAAGCAAAATAATACAAAATGTTAAAAAAAAAAATAAAAAACCTTAGATTATATCAAGCAACAGTAAACAGACATTAATATAGTTTCATATTGTTATATAATTTTATTTCTATACGTTTTAATAAATGTTAAGCATCCATGTTTCATAAGAGAACAATTTCATGAGGAGTTTCTTATATAACCATGTAACTGAATTATAAGGTAGCTTATCTTCTCTTTTAAAACAGTCACAGCACCATCTATAGGCCAAATTTAAACAAGCATGTGTTTAAACTGGTTTATAGCTGAGTCTATTCTTTAAGCCACTCAACAACACAATATGCCTATATAACTTTACACATATAAAGACTGTTTTCATACAATTACCTGAAAAGCCTTTAACTGTATTTAATCCAAAGAAGAAAAAGAGAACAAAAACAAAGAAGAAATAAAATTCACTAGAAATGGACACCAGGGTGTATAGGTAAAAGCAGTAAGATGTCTCAGAGGGTAAAAGCACTGCATTCAACGCTCAAGAGCCACATGGTAAAAGGAGAGAACATACCTCACAAACTGTCCTTATATTCCTATGCAAATGAATAAATTAACAAGCAAAATAAACTTGTTTTTTTTCTTAAAATATTTTCTCTAGTTGTTCTGTAAAAATCCACCCCCACAAATAAACAGTGGTCAGCAATTGTTAACTAGACTCTAAACCCACATTTTCATGTTAACCATAACAGTAACCACTTCTTCCAAGTCAACTGTGTGGTTGTAATAAACATACCTCCAACTGTAATTCTGTATACTTTCTCCTAAGTTCTGTGACTTCTTCTCCAGCCTGCATCTTCTTATATAAATCCAATTCTGTGTCAAGCAATTCTTTCTGCATCTGAAAAAGTAATTAATGTTTCAAATAACAATATTCTGATCTTATGTAAAATTTTTACACGATCCTTTTGCTCATATACACTTTTTTCCCCTTTCTTTTGGCATGGGCTAGTAATATATAAAGTCAAGATTCTCCTGTTTTGACTTCATGAATGACAAGATTAAAGGTATGTGTCACCATGAAAACTGACATTTCTATTTCACGTGATACTATTCTAGCAAAAGTATCCTAATTCTTATTCTCATTGATTTCCCTAAAATTCATTGTCTATATCACAGCCAGAGTATGAGTTCTATGAGCTAATAATGTAATAACTTCTGGGAGGAAAAGGGCTAACAAGCAATATATAGTATGTCTTTATATAGGTAAATTCAAATACCTTAGATCTGAGGATAAAACACAAAGTAATCACAAAGGGTACCAATAGGAGTTGTGTTAGGAATACTGTTATCATGGGCTGGGGAAAGGAGTCTCTTATGTGTATCTTTTTATGTACTTTTGAACCATGTTATTATTAGTTACTTTAAAAAAGCTTAAACCAGTAAAAACTGGAGCCAGAAGAAAGAATTCAAAACTGAAAACAGACATAGACCTAACTTTTATCTAATTAACATATTTACAAAAAGGACTCAAAGTAAAGCAACATCATAATCTGATCTAATCTTTATTGGAACACAATTAGTTTGGAAAGAATATAAATAAAATTTGAATCCAACTTGTTGAAATCAGTACTGCAAATTTTGCAAATATTCTGAATGGACTGCAGGTCGACTTGAACGATGAATAAACTGATGTTATGAAATCAAGTCATCATCATGGAAACTGACAGTAGAGTATAAATTTTAAAAAAGAGTAAGGATGTGATTTAGATTGAAATTAGAAATGTCAATGTGGCTTTATACACACACAAAGAATAAATACTGTACCACCTGTATTTTATTACTTGTTGCCATCTGAAAACATCTTGCTCATTTGTTTAGATCATCCAGAATAATACATCTGAATTTTTTCCCTTTGCAAATTATTCTGGAGAGTGATAATAAGTTACTTCCTATCATGAGCCTTCTATATTACTAACTAGTAACAATACATAGTTCAAACTTCTTGACCATACAATCAAGTACCCATATCATTTTGTCCCAAACTACCTTTCCAAAATTATCCGTAATCATTTTATAATAGTAAGTTTCACAACTGTAAAAAGTAGAGTTATGATTAGTCCAATTCTGAACAAAGGATACATTCTTTAAAAAAAAAACTTTAAAAAATCACGTTTGATATTTTTATTTTAAAGCTCTTTTTAAAAAAGACTTATTTGTATTCATTATATATGGATGTTTTGCCTGCATATGTATCTGTACACTATTCAGTGCACTTGGGGGCCAAAAAAAGGCATGAGATCCTCTGAAACTGGAGTTACAGACAGTTGTTAGCTGCCAAGTGAGTAAGTTGAACCTAGGTCCTCTGAAAGAGCAACAAGAGCCCTTTACCACTAGGCCATCTCACCAGACCCATGCTTAATATTCTTAGTAAGCAGTCATATGGAAAACAAAACAGAATACCTGAGTCTTCGTTTTTATACTTTTTGGAAGACAGCGTCCAGGAGATGTAGCTTTGACTTCATCTTTCAACTTAGTAATATTTTTTGTCAAAACCTCTAATGTTTTCATTATTTCTGCTTTATCTTCAGACTTCATTGTTTTGTTTTTCTCTAGTTTTGAAATTAGCATCTGGCAAGTTTTAAAACAGAAATCTTAAGAGACCTATTCCTATTACTGATAACAAAACAAATACAATAAAACAAAGCAAATACTATTTTTAGTTTCCTTTTCTCAACAAAGCTGCTATATCTAAGTGTATAAAGATAGAAAAGCAGGCTTGGGAGCTAATAGCGTAATTAAAACCAGTTTACTTTGGGAAGAACTTTACTATTATTTGGCTCTCTTAGAACATAAGATCTGAACAGGAGAAGTGAGATAGGAGATATCACATGGAATTATGTTCTCGGAGTTAAGATAGCTTCAGTTTTATATGAAGCATTATGATTTCACCTTAATGAAGTATATCCAAAATAAGAAAAGACCATATTTATAATCAATGCAAGTTTTTCAACAGTCTTAACTTCTAGCCTACACTACAAAAAATAAGTAATTTGACAGTCTTAGTCTCCTCAGGTGCTGAGATTATATTAATGTACCACTGTGCTCCAACAAAACATTTTTTTCTAGATTTTTACATTTCTACTACATTATAAAACACATCAAAACTAATTTCTAAGCCAGATGGTGATGGTGCACACCTTTAATCCCAGCACTCAGGAGGCAGAGGCAGGCAGATCTGAGTTCAAGGCCAGCCTGGTCTACAAGAGCTAGTTCCATGACAGCTAGGACTGTTCCACAAAGAAACCCTATCTCGAAAAAAAAAAAAAAAAGACAAAATAAAGTTAATTTATAATTAAAATGTCATAAATTAGAGAGCCATCTGCCCCAAAAATGTCAGCCAAGAAATGCCAGTTACATTAAGTAAGTTTTAAAGATTTAGTTTATAACTGATGTATGTGTGCTTGTGCCGTATGCATGAAGATGGCCATGGAAGCCAGAAAACAGGGTCTGATACCTTGCAGTTAGGGTTACATGCAATTGTGAAGCACCTGATATTGGTGTAGAAACCCAAACTGGGGTCCTCTGAAATAGTAGTAGCAAATGCTCTTAACCATTGAGCCATCTCTCCATGTCCACATATAATTTGACTGTTTTATCAATCACATTAAAAAGATAAAAAAGGAAAAATAAAATTGATGGCAAAAGCCATTCGTTCATCCCGGCCGCCCAGATCCAAGATAACAACACAGAAACTATATTAATTAAAACAGTGCTTGGCCTATTAGCTTATGCATATTTCTAGCTAACTCTTACATCTTAAATTAATCCATTTTTATTAATCTATGTATTGTCACATAGTTGCGGCCTACTCATAAGGTTCTGCCCGGCATCTGTCTCCTGAGGCAGCTACACGGCTTCTGTTTCACTCTGCCTACTCTCTCCACCTCTATCTGCTTTGAATTCCCATCTTGCCCTATTCTACACTGCAACAGGCCCAAAGCAGATTCTTTATTAGATGGTATTCACAACATACAGAGGCAAATCCTACATGAAAATTAATTAAGTAATTTAGCCTAGTGTACCAAATGCACATTTCAACAATAAAAAAATTTTAAGATGTTTTTCTTCATACTATAGCTTTGAAGTCTGGCATATAATTATAATTTTCCTCTCAATTTGGACTAGACACAGGGCAAACGAATCAGTCAGGTGTGGCTTTTGATTACTCTTGTAAAACCCCAGAGTAGAGAATCTCAACTAGTGAAGAGCATGCCAATAATAGTAAAAAGATTTCATTTCATTATTCGCTGACAAGAATACTATACAGTAACAGAGCTAAAGAAACTTAGTTTCAATTTGTGTTGATAACCATTTCCAAATAAACTATACGTACACTTCATAAATTTCTTCAACTACAATGCTATTAATACACATGATACACTGTTTTTTTTTTATTTTTACCACTACCAATTACAATAAATCTGCTTCTCACTATGAATTTAAAAGATTAAATTCAATAAACATAAGGCCAGTATTTTGCCAAATACTTTAACTATTTTACCTTCTGTGTTTCAATGTGCTTTTCTAAAATTTCTTGCTTCCTTTTTCTTACATCCTGCTGAAGTTTCAGTGCCTCCTAAAAGAATCAAAATATCATTTGAGTAATATCTAACGATATCTAAAGATAGATAAAGCAATACAAGAGAAGAAAGGCAGTTTTAGTTAAAGAAGCATGGCAACAAAAGCAATACACTTTCTATCGTAAAGCTTAGAAAATGAATGCAAGTGTCAAAGATCAAAAAGAAGAAACTTTCCTTTACAGTAAATGGAAAATGGGGTGGGCGTTACTTATTTCTACACACAGAGCTATGTATCTAGTCTCACCTTGTGGGGAGTGCCTTATACACACACTGACTGGAGGAGTCTTCCTAAGCGCAGATTTTACGTCATGCTATTTATGCTTACCTGTTTCTTTTTCTGTGCTTCATTACTATCAACTGCAGGGGTAGAAACGAGTAAAGATTTCTGCGCAGCCTTCAAAGCAGCTGGATTATACACCGTTTTTGTAAGGCCAGTAGATGTAGACAACACCTACCAACACAAATTCAATTTCTTCAGAGTGTTATTATTCATAATTTCTTAAGTCTTGCTTCTAAAACACTCAAACTTTAAAGCATTCCTGCCTAAAATTAGCATGCTGAACTAAATGTATTATATACTTAGAATAACTAAATCATATTTTATGACTTAAAATGAATGGTTTGAGTGAATAAGCCCTAAACCAAACAGAAATTTCCTAGTGACTTAATATCTGTAACAAAAATTCAAAGCCAAACATGTAAACCTTGAAATCAAAGGATAAAAAAAACTCCCATTACTGTATTTCTCAGAAAATACTTGTGAATATATCTCTACCTATCTCTACTGAAGCAAAAAAAAAAAAAGCACAAGAGAAAAACTGAATGTGATCCTACAAATAATTTAGTATGATCACTACAATTTGAAGTTCCAAAATAAATGCAGCCATCACTCTCCATTCCCGGCAGGCCATATTCTTCCTGTCTGAAGTGATCTTAACCTCTTAAGCCAAGCTCAGATGCAGTACAAGCCAAAGCATTAACCATTTCTCTTTTCTGCCCAATACTTAACAAACAACTTTTTATTCTGTAAGCCATGATATAAAATACTAGTAATGTTGTTAGGAAATATTAACTATTTTAACAAATTCTTATTTTAATTTTATTTATTATTAATTTTATTTATTTATTATTTTAATAAAAATTCTGATAGTGATGTCTTCCTTCCTATCTATACTGCAAGAGCCTTGATACAAAAAAAAACAAGTTCTCTTCTTTGTGGTTCTTGAATCTAAGTCTTAATGACACAGAATTATGAGACTTTGGTTAAAGTAAACTTGAGAAGTGGGGTAACTTCAGTGTGCTTATCTATAAACTGAAGGTTCACTCGACAGTATCCAAAACACAAACTCAAAGCTCTCGCTCTCCTTGACAGACATTACTGTCTCACTTTTATCACTATGCTGTTAGCACCTAAAGAGTACAGTCACACATGATAAATATTTCCACACTAAATTAAACAAATGATTATAGATTCAAGTAGAATACCCTTCAAAACACAAGGTTTATTTAAAATAAAAAAAGGACAGCTCTGACAGTCTACTTATCCTTTACTAAGCTCCATTTGGTGACGGGTTCACAGAAAAGATGGTATCAATAGATTCTACAAAACCTAATCAAGTAACCATACACCATGATTTTCCAGAGAAAATATTATTGTTTCGAATGTCTTAAGGGTTCCTAGGCTAAAACATAACAACCAAAGACGTAAGAGTATATATGAGAACTATCACCCTATTTTTAGCTACTATGTTAACATCTGGTATAGCATAAAGCAGCAATCTGGAGAGTACTGTCTAATCTTTCCTCATGGAATTAGAAGGAAAAAAAATGGGCAACTCATTACTCTTCCATGTATCCATGAATGTCTCAAATCTCAATGAAATAAAAACTGTTATTTTACCTCCACAGTGCACACTTGATGTTTAAAAAGTAAAAGAAAATATTCTAAATGTACCCAAATTTCATTTGTAATTTTCTTCAAGGTTAAACTGTCACATATCACTAATAAACATGAAATAGTAACTATGAAATCCTTGCATTCATTAGAATATAAAATATGGATTTAGCTTATAGTCTAATTTCAGAGATTATTAGTAATAATTCAGAGAATGTCTTTGAACCTAGCTTGCTATGTAACAAATGTTAAAATGAATGATTATCTGAAAGAGAAACAACTTATGAAAAACATAAAACAGTCTCACCTTTTTAAGTATATATTTAACTACTTTAAGTATACCATTTTTTATAAGAATGCCCTAATAAGTTAAACAGCTTTGAGTAGAAAAGTTTTCCACACTCAAATAACTTGGAAATATTGAGTATCACAACCATGTTTTCAAATATCAAATATATATAAAACAATTTGTTTAATCACTAGTATTTTCCTCACTCAAAGTTTGTATCTGATGAGAATAGAATACTTCTTTGTTTCTACAAGCTGTCTCATAAGCACATCCATAGTCCTATCCACTGATTTCCCTCTGCAATGATAGGATATATGATAAACTGTTCCACAAATCCTCAATATCTGAAGAACTCCTTAAAATTCAAAGATAAAGAAACAACAGCACAGAGCTTACACTTACAACTGTATTTTCAACAATGGTGAAACATAGCCCAAAAGTGCCAAGAAGTAAAACTAAAACGTGTATTGGAAATAATGAACTGTAGAACTACATGCATTGTTTTTTATTTGAATCTATTTAGTTATAGAGATTAGGTACTAAAATAGTAAAGAATATCCACACTTTTCAAGATGTAAAATTTATCCAGGCCTGGTGGCATGTGCCTGCAAATCCAGCACTTGGGAGCTGGAAGCGCTGATAGTAGCACACTAAGAGTTCTATATGAGACTGAAGGCTGGCAGCACAGTACTGCCACGCTCCCAGTCATGGGTTCAACTTTTAGCACTGTCAATAAATAAATACATTTAAAATGAAAACAGTGGAGGAAGCAAAACAATTCCAACAGACAAGATTAAGTTACAATTCCTAATACAAAGCATGGCCTTAGCAAGTAAACACAGCATGTTTTTTCCAATTTTTTCACATAATGTAACTTAACATGGTGACATAATACTAGCTTAACTTCTGAAGATCTAATTGTACTCACTGTCTCAACTGCTTCTAAGTTTATTTTGGATTTTATATACATAAAATAATTGTGTCACCCATAAACAAACAATTTTATTTCCTCCTTTAGAATCTTTATAATGGTTTATTTCATTTTACTACTTTACTGTATTGGTAAAGTAGTTTTTCCTACAGAAAAAACTGCAAGTGTTTACAGTGGACATCTCTGTCTAATTCCTGAACTTGACAGACGGGAGACATTCAATATGTTTCACCATTAAGTTCAATGTTAGTTCTGGTGGGTGGGGATGCAAACATTCTTCATCAAGGTAGAGAATCTGCCTATTCCTAGTCTGTAGATTGTTAAATATTTCACCAAATGTTTTTCTACCAAGTTATTCATGTGAGGTTTTCCTTCTCCCTTACAATACTAATGTGGTCAGTTAAATAGATTTCTTGATGCTAAATCATCTTGAGTTTCTAAACTAAATCTTTTCTAGCCACAATGTATTATGCATTTGACATACACTGAAAATTACTAATATTTTATTTGGAATATCTGTGTCTATGTTCGTAACTGGTGTTAGTCTATAACTTTCCTTTCTTATAATATCCTTTGTCAAGTTTTGGTAGCAAAGAAAAACCCAGAAGATGGGTTAGCAGGTCTATCATGTGGTAAGCTATCATTAAGATCTCCTATAACCAAGACATATCAATTCTCTAGAGAGGTTACACTTCACTAATACATTTTCTTTCTTTTTCATTTAGATTTATTTTATACGTATTTGTGTTTTGCCAGTATGTTACATATATGCACATGTCCAAGGAGGTCAAAGAGGGCACTAGATCCCCTAAACCTTCTGAAGTTACGATGGGTATGAACAAGGGTTCTGGGAAACGAGCCTGGGTCCTCTTCAAGAGCAGCAAGTACTCTCAACTGCTGAAGTGTTTATCTAGTTCTCACATCTCCGTTTCTTACATACAACATTATCATCCATACTAGTACTAGTTCATGAAAAAACCAAATATTTTCTTGCTAAGGATGGGAGGGAAAGACTATTCTGCAAAAAACAAAATTATTTAATATTTAGGATTACTACGAAGTCATCTAAGTTTCATTTTTAAAATGTTCAACTGAAATTTAATATAAAAGAATGTAAATATGTTAAAGAAAGAAGTTCTAGCAGATATTTAAAGCAGAAAAGAGAAACTCAGTTAACTTTAAAAGTATCTGAGGTACTATATATACAGGAAAATTAATATGCTTAATGTTTTCGATTAAGTATGCATCTATTCAATAAAGTGGAATGTTTATTTATAATATTACTTAACAGCATAGATATGCATTCTACAGCACTGGCCAGTGGAGATCTGTGAGAAGAACAAGATTTAAAGGTTCATTTATAGAGTATTCTGAGGATTCTTCACAACAATATTAGGTACTTCTTAAAAGCTTGATTTAACCAACAGTAAAAAATTACAACTGCCAAGAAGAATACATTGTGTGTATGTGTATGTGTATCTCTTGTATATGGCTACACTGAATACTTGCACAATGTCTCACATTTTGGTTGTGAGGACACTTAAAATCATGGCTATCCACTGAAGTTATCATGTTGTACTTATGTTCTGAAATTATTTTACAACCTCCAACTATTATCTTCATAATTTCCTCACCCTGGAGCCCTACTAACATTACTCTGCTCCATGAATTTGACTTTTTAATTTTCCATATATGATAAAGGAATTAATGACCTTACAGAGAAACACTTTAAACAAAGAAAAACTATTTGCAATTCATAATCAATTTTGCTACAAACTCTAGCTCCCAGAAAGTGCAGCCTATCTTTTAAATAAGTCAAATTTTCCGGTAATAAAAAATAATCCAAGATGTCGGGCAGTGGTGATGCACACCTTTAATCCCAGCACTTGGGAGGCAGAGGCAGGCGGATCTCTGTGAGTTGGAGGTCAGCCCAATCTACAAAAGCTAGTTCCAGGACAGGCTCCAAAACTACAGAGAAATCCTGTCTCGAAAAACCAGAGAAAAAAAGTCTTCAGAGGACAATGTACTAAAAATTAAAATAACAAATAATGGGAGAGAAAAGCTGCATGTATTCTACCAATCTTTGGATTTATATTAGCAAAACGGAAAAAAAAAATCAAAATTTAAGACAACTTGCTCAATGTCATTTCCAATGGCTAAATGAAAAACTGAAGTGCCTATATGAAATATAGCTCATTTTACCACACAATCTCCAATTTTAAAAAATTCCAAATACAAATGTTAACTTTCATTATGAAAACAGGATAATATATACCTTGGATTAAAAAATAAATACATTAAGTCAGGCAGTGGTGGTACATGCCTTTAATCAGGAGAAAAAGGCAGGCAGATCTCTGAATTTGAGGCCAGCCAGGTCTACAGAGTGAGTTCCAGGACAGCCAGAACTACAAAGAAACCCTGTCTTAAAAATATCCAAAATAATAATTTAAAAAAACATTTTTTAGTTCAAAAATGAACATTCTATGATAAATTTAATATCTAAGACTGGCATATTAGACACCAGGACAGGACATTTGATTGAAAAGGAAAATGCACTCCAGGAGAAACACTACAAAGAAGCTAAAACTAGACCAGGATAGAAGAAAAACAAAACAGAAAAGTGAGCTAGAAAAGGAACTGGAAGAGAACAAGACTGCTCCCTTGGGTTGGAGGCCACAGACAACACACAGCAAGTTATTCCTAAGGCAGATAACATAGACTGCACAGCAAAAGTGAGACAAACTACCAATGGCAGAGGTGTCTATGAGCTGCTTATGAAACAAAGTAACTGTAGCCAATAAATTCATATTTTCTATAATAAACAGACACTGGAATAGTACTGACACATTGGCAACAAAGTAAAATTTAAAGAGGAGAATGGCAAGACACCCGCTAATAGCCAAAAGCCAGGAAACTAAAGTAGAGAAAAAGTGGTAGGCTATAAATACACGCACCATGCCCATGAGGCTTTAAAACAACCACTTCTAGAGGTGAGGACTAGAAATTAAAAGTAACTTCTATATGGAAAATAATTCATTTTAGGCACTGAGATGTCCAAGAGGAAGGCCTTATGCAAACTGAGTTTCAAATTTCTAGAAATGTCAAAGACTACAAAGGTAAATAATAATAATTAAAAAAAAAGAAACCAGTTCTCTAAAGAACAAATGGAGGGCAGGTCAGGAGATGCTTGATTCATTTTCATCATGAATTTCCACTGTAACCTTCAAACTAGAAAGAACATGGACTGAAAATAAGAGAAACACAAATCTTTTGGGGCTTGATTATACTTGGTCTTTAGATCATTCAGTTCTAATATCCTATAGTTTCATGTATTAAACAAAACAATGTAATCAGGGCAGTCCCTAATACCGCAACATAAAAACAAAATACCCCATGTCTGTCTATTCAGAAGACAGATCCATAAACAGCTGTAACACTCTGTATTTACCTTCTTTTTTAAAAAGTGTATTGTAAAGTCTTATAGAGATAACTGTCAGCAATAACTTTAAACTGCCAAAAATAAAATAATTAGATCATCCTTCCCATTTACAGACTACTTTTAAGTAAACAAAGACATGTTACCATCACCAGCCTACCAATACGTTAAAAGACTGAGAGACGTTAAATGCACTGCCAATTATCATGCAGTTAGTAAACAAAGAGCTGGGGATCAAATTCTGATAATATTCCTAGCACGGCCCTTTCTATTATACTACCAGAGTTTTGAAACTAAAATGCACCTCTCTTTAGAAAATAAACATAAAAGAAGACAAAGAATGGAGCACACAGAAATAAGAGAAGCAAGTATTACAATGCTGATGTAAAAAAGAAAGTAGCTAGGCTAGTAATTGTCTTTTTCAGCAAATAGGAGTAAGAGCTACAAATACTATTAAGAAGCAGGAGTTTGGAGCCATGAAAAAAAAATTAAAAATGAAGATGCCACCTGAAAAACATTTATGAAGCCAAGACAAACACATCATGCTATTCTTACCTTTTCAGTTGCTGAAACAGATGGCTTTGATACAAAACCCAACCTGTCCTTCACAGATAACTTAGTTACATTCTAAAAAGATTAAAACGGACATATTCAGTGTTTCCCCAAACATATATTAAGTCTGTTGGGATTTTGAACATCCTGATTCTACTATATATACTGAGTTTGTGCATAACAAAACTAGCCACAGAAACTTGGGCCTTTAAAAAAGTGGGAGAGAAACAAGGAGAAAGAAGAAAAGGGAAAAGAATAAGAGGATAAAAAGGAAATAGACGTTGAAAAACAAAAAGTCTTTAATATTAACCATAAAAAAATTACAATGTAAAATCTGTCCAAGTAGTTGGTTCCTAACGTCCTTTCCTGGAACTGTACATTAATAAGCAGAAAGTCTGCACATTTAAAAATAGATGTGAACATTTAAAGTATAAACCTGCTTCATAAGCTTAAAAACAAGAGTCATTCATTCCTAAAATATGCTTATAATTAAATACACTATACTTAGTGATTACTTACATAAAATTTAAAAACTGTTTATCAATTTGCATTCTGAACCTTCACATAGAATCTCATTATCTTATTCTATTCATCAAGAATTATCGAAAAGAGCATCTATCATGGTATCTATTAGCTAAGTAGGATATTACATTCTAACCCAATTTTATACAGCAAGTCTTAAAACATCTAGAGAAAAAGAAAAGCTAAATTTCTGAGACTGAGAGTGTAGAGACAAGAAACTGTCACTAAAGTACGGAATTGGGAAAGCAACAACGTATGTGAAAAGAGAATCCAGTCAGTAGTTAAGTGGTGCAAAGCTCTAAGCAGGGCAAGTGAGGTCCTAAAACAATGTATCAAGCACATATAGACTGATGGCTTAAGTCTTCCTTTAGCAAATGTTTTCTGTTCACCCTACTACATAATAATCGGGAGACAGAACTCTAAGCAAAAGGGTAACGGAAAAAATAAGATTTAGTATACTGAAATTCACTCTCAGGCAAATTTGTTTAAATACATCTCCACAAAGTGAAAAAGAGACCTTTCTCCTAAGTATTTATTCTCTAGCAGAAAGCAGTGCAAATGTTACAGTAAAACTAACTTACAGGAGGAGTTCCAAGCCATAAATACCATATTTCTGTATAGAACATACATCATCAAAATTCTAGCTATCAAGGAAAATGAATGGAAAATGAATGAGAACCTATTTGACAAATCTCTTAATACAACCTTCTATTTACCTGGGGAAGGTCTGAAGTAGCACTCTGAGCTTCTGCTGGTTCAACAGTAACTGACGGTACAGGACCCAACCGCTCTTTGACAGATTGTTTCACAACAGGTAAAATGGGCTGCTGAACTAACGGCTGTATTACCTCAGAACAAGTGGAAAGATTAAAAACAAGCTAGTTAGTAAAGGAAGATAAATATCCAATCAGGGTGATTTTGTACTCATTACCCATATAAAGAATGTTTAAAATATAGCTTATAATCAAACTCAACTATCTTTCAATTATTTTCAGTGTATAAATCTTTGTAAGAAATGAATTATAAAAGAACAGAATTAAATCCATTATTGTCTGCTTTAACATTGAGAAACCAGACTATTCTATAACCTCTAAAAAAAAGAAAGGGAAAAAAGTGAAAGGAAAAAAAAAGAATTCCAAAGATATTGTGTAGTGTAAACTTATAAGATATATAGTCATCTCTTAGTGAGTGATTACTTCCCAGGAAATGTTCCAGATGCTTTACACATACCATATTATAATTCTTTAAACTAGGATTAACCTCACGAGCTAATGAAAGAATAGTCTGGATAAGTAACTTTCTCAAGCCTCTATAGTAGGCGCCTCATGGCTCAAAAGCCTCTGCTTAAGCACTGTTAAAAGACCCCAAGAAACATTAGACTTCACACAAATTTCTCTTACCTTTGGTGAAGTAGTCTGTAACTGCTGAGTAGTTCCTTCTCTGTGCCAGTAAACCTTAATAAAGCGGTTATTTAATACTGCTTCTGTACTTGAGATTGCTTTCTTTGCCTCTTCGTACGTTGCAAATTGGATAAGGGCACCTTCAGGATCACCATTATAGGCAACCTAAGATTTAACATATTGAGGACAGTTTACTTCTAAAGGAATACACAGCTCTAGACAGTTAATTTCTCAAGATGTGAAATGCTGGTCCTTCCAAGTAAGAAAGAAGCTTATCATCACAGCTCCTTAGACCTATGCTGTCAATACAACATGCCAACTCTGTTACTCTTGGAGTTATTTCTAAAGAACATGAGAAAGTTCTTTGCTTTTTGTTTATTTACTTATTTGTTTATGGCAGTAAGAGAAAAGTTTATTTGGGGGCCAGATCTGAGTGACCATGGCCCGGATAAACATTTAGATTTCAATGTGGAAGCAGTTTCATGACATTTTTTAGTTTCCCAGAACAAAGACAGGTCAAAAAAAGCTATTAGTGCCAGCAGTGCTGGTAAGTGGTGAGAATCTTTGAAGAAGTGAGGCTAGTGGTATGTTATCAGATCATTTAGAGGAGCAGTCCTTACAAACTATGCTAGATAGTTTTATGTCAGCTTGACACACACTAAAAAGTCATTTCAGAGGAAGGAACCTCAATTAAGAAAAATGCCTCTATAGGCCATGCACAAGTCTGTAGGGCATTTTCTTTACAAGTGATCGATGTGGGAGGCCTATTCCACTGTGAGTAAGGGACCTCCCTGGGCTGGTGGTCCTGGGTTTTTTAAGAAAGCAGGCTGAGCAAGCCAACAGCATTACTTCATCTTACAAAATACCTCTTTCCTTTATTAAATGAGCCCTGTTCAGGTATCTCATTCTAGTAACAGATAATATAATCTGAACAAATTTTCTAAATCTCTATAAATAAAGTTTTCTTAACTTCTTTAAATAATTACTGACAATAGTATCATTCCACAATCCTTACCTGTAAGTTAACCAATGTTCCAAATCTACTAAAATGTTCATTAAGTTTGCTGATATTATTTAATTCCGGAGGAACTTTCCTAAGTTCAAGTTTAGTATTTTCGTTTCCAAACTGAACCTTCTTCTGGAAACCTGGGCTGTTTGTCCTATTAAAATTAGGTCTGTAAACAAAAATCAAGTCGATCAATATATTTATAAACGCTGACTCCAACTACGACAAAGAAAGAAAGTTTTACAAGTAAAATGGATATTCTCAATCAATTTTTCTCCAAAACTGGAGGCACAAGTTGATAAGGAAATTTTAAGTTTTCTTTCAACAAGTTTCCAAATTTGTAGCGCTACTATCTTTTATGGACGCCATATCCCTCTTTACTTACACTTTTCATCTCCTGCTAATTATTTTTATCAAAAAAGGTACTACTACTTGCATTTAGTCAAAATGTACATACAAATCTTTTTCTATTCTGCAAGTTAGCTTACTGAAAAGTATCTCATTTTAGGAATTCTTTACTTTTTGATATAAAGATGACACCTCAACCTGTCTCTAGTTTAAGAAACAAAATTATTGGAAATATACATGATACTTTGGCACATGAATAAAATAATATCTGTGATCCATGAAGTTACCTTTTCCCTTTTCTCTTAAATAGGAAAGCCAGATTTATAAACTATTGAACTATTAGGTGTGGCCCTAATCTCCCTTTGTGGGTGAAAATATATAAATGCAATGTCAAACTCTCCAGTATTCTGACTTTCTTCCTTTCTTCAATGTTCTTCCTGATCTATTCAGTGCCTCTTCGGCCCGCCCCCCCCCCCCCCCAACAAAGGCCCTTTCCAGTTCCTAACAGGAAGTGTCTTCATGCTGAAATCTCCACCCAGACCTTCTACATTCTTCTCCCACGCCACTGGGCTCCTGTGCACAACTTCTACTCAATAATACATCTAACATGTCTAAGGAATTGAGGTGGAAGAGGAAAGCGTAAAACTGTGTTCTCCACTATTTTCTAAAAAAATAGCTTTGTACTATCAAACTTATTTGTATAAATTTCTAGAAAACCAAAATTGTAGCTGAGGACAGCCTACATATCAGTATCTTTTAAGAGAAAAGATTACATGGTCATAATAATACAGTAATAATCAATGTAAAACAAAATCTATTAATATAATTAATTATAATTTAAATAATAAGTTTAATATTTAATTACTTATCAAACCATGTCTTCTTTGTAGAAACTCCTGGTTCTCCAGACCCAATGGTTCTTTTCCTTGATTCTGAATCCACTACTATCCTCATACTGCTTTTATTAGGAGGCTTTTCTGTGTCAAAACAAAAGAAAACAGACATTAATATTTTTGTGTTTATCTCAGCTACTTCTCCAATGAAAGAGTTCATTTCTCTCCAAATGAATATATTTATAACCAAAAGGGTAAATATACATTCAAGTACATTATTTCAAGAGGATTTTAGTCTCCTCTGAAATTTCAGAATTTCAGGTGCAGTTTTTTAAATTCACACTTAGCTCTAAGACTCAATAAAGTTCACATGACAAATATGATTCTACAGGCTTCTTTATTAAAGGCAAAATCCATGCCACTCCTCCAATTTGCATCTCTTATCACAAACCAAAACATAAATATAGAAATAAGTCACTTGAGACTTTAAATTCATAGTTTTGAAATCAAAGGAACAATTATAAGCACAAACACATCAAACTGCCTTTGCAAACTAGCAAATTGCAATTATACTGCCTAAATAGCAACATTAACATAATTGAAAATATATTTTAAAAGAAATATTCAAGACTAAATATAGTGCTAGAGAATTATAAACACCTATTAACCAATATTTTACAAACATTCTGCTAAAGCAATCTTACAAGCTTGTCTTACTTTTTACATAGCTTGTTGTCTTTACTGGGCTTCTAATTTCCAATTTCTCTGGTTGTCTATCTAAACATAAAGACAGAGCCTCCAATCCATGTCTCGGAGCCCCGCTGCTTGCCTCCATTTTCTAGCTCTCCTATGACACTGGAACATCATCCACACCAGGTATTACAGTTCAGATTCCTCCATATTTACAAAGGGGCTTCTCCTTTTACTCCTCTAGTTTCTCTCTACATATCCTACATCTAGTCCCTAAGTGATATTTACATTTGACTATTTCTTCTTCCTTACCACACCCAATCAGTCACTAGTTCTTTGGAAATTGGTAGCTGTTCACATTACTAGACTTATCTTGTTCATGGAAGAAAAATAAATAACTGGTGTCACAATTTGATACTTAGGAGTATGAATATTCAGTGTTTTTCCCAGTTGTGTATGTGTACTTTGCCTATATTTATGTACACTGTGCATATGCCTGGTGACTGAAGAGATGGAGGCGTCAGATGTGAGCCACCATGTGGATGCTGGGACTGGAATCAAACCCTGATCTTCCAAAAGAGCAGTAAGTGCTTTAACATCTTAACCACCTGTCCAGTGCTACTTCTCAGTTTTTAACTGGCCTCCAAGAGACATTTACTGCTGCTGACTACTACCCCTCTTAGATATCACCAGTTCTGGATTTTCAGGAATCCCTTTTGTTTGTGGCCTCTTGTTTCCAGTCCCTACATAAGCCTGGCTCCCTCATCTCACTCCATTATCTCCCTAGTGTCCTTTGATCTACTCTCATTCACCTTTCCTGGTGTTTCTCAGGAGTTCCAGTGTGTGGGAAGTGGGGCAGAGATATAAGGGAAGGATGTGAAAATAAACAGAAAAGACTCTTTGTTCCTATGTGAATCAACCATGCAAGACTCAATGTGGTTCATTCTATTATTCTTTACCTCCACATTTATGATTCCAAAGTAATTTCCAGTCTGCTGTCTTCATGAAGCTGAGACTTAAGTATTTCTAATCAGATGACTTACAGGCATAATAACTAAACAGTAACAAAAGTTATTTCTCTACCAATGCATTCTTTTTGTAGTAAATGTTATTATCATTTCCTAATTATCAACACAAAAACTAATATTTGATTTCAGCCTTTACATTACTCTTCCAATCACATTTAGTAAATCATGCTGTCAAAATCTCAGTTCCCATGACTACTAACCTAGACCACCTCTATCACCTATTTTAAAATTCTTCAAATGTCTTCACTGTCCTGTGAACTTCCACACCTCCTTCCTTTTTGAGACAAAGCTGAGTTTCTCAGAAGTGTAAACTGTATATACTTTCAACTGTTCCCTTTCTCTCGCTGACCAACTTATCAGTGTACTGTATGAATTGTTGGTACAAATGTCATGCCATATTGATCTTAGTGGGAAAAGATGGTATTGGCGTTAGTGGTGATCAAAGTGCAAGTTGTGGTTTCTGTGGGTAAGAATGCACTCACATGACCAATTCTCCAAGAGGACTTAGCTCATTGGCTCATTTGGAGAAGCTCTAAGCTACCCAATATCCTTTTCCACTAAAAACAAACCTCAATTATCTGAAAACTAAGAAACACAGTAAAGTGTTTTTTCACCCAGTAATTGGTGCATTTGCCACGCCTCTATTTTCTCTTTCAGATTCACTTTCACTAAGGTTTACTTGAAAATAAGCATTTAAAACAAAAAAATAAGTATTTCATGATATGCAATTAGCAAATGCATCTAATCACCTATACCAAACAATATTATCAGTTCTATAGTTTTTCTGGATAAAACTGACAGCACTGGATAGTTATTTATTTATTTATTATATATACAATATTCTGTCTGTGTGTATGTCTGCAGGCCAGAAGAGGGCACCAGATCTCATTACAGATGGTTGTGAGCCACCACGTGGTTGCCGGGAATTGAACTCAGGACCTCTGGAAGAGCAGGCAATGCTCTTTAACTGAGCCATCTCTCCAGCCCTGGATAGTTTCTTAAGCTATTAAATTCTTCTTCCTGCCTAAATCTACTATATCTACCTGTGGGAACATTTATTAAGTTCTTTTCCTTAGAAATATAAAAATAATTTCAAGGACAAAGAAGTCATAAAAATATTAGAATTTCCATAGCATCAAAAGTGCCCAAAATGTTTTATTTAATGATTATCTCTTATCAAGATTTAAGAGTATGAAACCTAAGTCAAATTATCAAATAATACACCCCATGATAAACTAATGCCATGGTTCAGGCTACCAGAAATGCACAGTAACTAAATAATTCGTATCACTACAAGCTTTTTATACAACAGTCACAATCCAGAACAAGAAATCTGAAACCTAAAATGAGGATTGAAAAGAACATATTGAGATAAAAAGGACTGAAAAAAGAAAAAAAAAGACATGAAATTCATAAAAACAACCCTCAATTTAAACGGTTTGCTAAATCAGTTGACAAATTAAAAGTAATTAACGCATTTCTAAAAGTAAAAAAATGCATTTCTAAATTATCACACAAAAAACATGATGTATCTAAATAATATTAAAATAATCATTACACAATTATGACTATGAAAAAAGGCAGTCAAATTTCTAAGTGTACATTTATCTCTCAATAAGAGCACTTCATGTATCCTGCAACATTATTCACAAAGAGCTGAAATTACCATAATGCCAATGGCAATGTTGTAAAATTTACATGCAAAGGATTTGATTCCCTTTCCTCTCTCAATCAAAACTAAAAATCAGTCTGGCACTGAACAGGGTTTAAAATATTATTACACAGTAGCAGCATACATTTATGCCAAACAAAAGCAAAACATGAGTGAAGTAGGAGTTACCAGTAACAGCAAGGAATATTGATATGAATTTTAATGCAAATATAGGTTTGGACAAATAGCTCAGCAGTTAAAAGGGAGTACTACTCTTGCAGATGATCTGAGTTCACCCAGCACCCACATCAGGCAGTTCATAACACCAGAGGAAATAACATCCTCTGCTGGACTGCTTGGGCACCTCCATTCACATACAAACCCATAGACAAAAATACATAATTTAAAATTATTGTTTTTCTTTCTAAGTGCTAAACTGACCCAAGGAAAGAAGACTCCTGTAAACTAACCAGTGTGGGAGAGAAATTCAGAGGATAAGTAAACATTAGTAACAACTATAATCTTAAGGGTCTACTTTCCCATTATAGGCAATGTATATGTCTCATTTATAGAAGCAACTAAAATAAGAAAACTTGCTTTCCTGCTACTACTGATGATTAATTATTGAATTATCTTAGAGAGAATGCAATGGTGTATTGAAGAGAAACATGCACATTAAGGTTCTTTTTTTTTTAATGTATATAATATTCTGTCTGTGTGTATGCCTGCAGGTCAGAAGAGGGCACCAGACCCCATTAGATGGTTGTGAGCCACCATGTGGTTGTTGGGAAATGAACTCAGGACCTTTGGAAGAGCAGGCAATGCTCTTAACCTGAGCCATCTCTCCAGCCCCAACAATAAGGTTCTCAAAGAGGGCAAATATGAACAGATTCTGTGATATTATATTTATATTCAGAGATATAAATTTGAGTTAGATTGTTCCTCATATCCTGCCACACATGCTTTTCAAATAGACAAAGTAGATACTCAGAATCTGACAAATTCCAATAAATAATAAAAACCTCAAATTATAAGCATCCTAAATTTACTACTCCACATAAGTACTATTATTTAAGTTGGGCATTTATATGCAACTGAAAAGTCTTAATACTTATACTCTACATAAGGCAGAAAGAAAAAAACCTGGAATGCAAATTTCAAATGATATGATTAAGATAAAACACCTATTTCTGCCACCATAATATTTTGTCTAAAAATTTTTCATCTCCTTTCTCATGTTATCTATAACTGCTACACTGTTTCACACTGAACCATTGTCACAGCTTGATGCTAGTAAAGAACTGTTGTGGCTCAGGCTAAACACTAGTTTTTAATAATTTACTGTCTCTCCTAAAATTTGAAAGATGAATTAACTGCTAGCCCATATTTCCTTTTACTAAAGAAAAGTATCAAATTTTAACATGTCAAGTATACAAAAGAATCTGCATATGGAGTACAAGTTTTAGACAATTTCACTCTCTAAACTAGGACAGACTTCAAAACTTAAAGAATTCTATCTTACTCTCATCAATGGTTCTCAACCTTCCTAATTCTGCGACTCTTTAATACAGTTCCTCATGTTATGATGACTTCAACAACCATAAAATTATTGCAATTATAAAATTGCAACTTCATAGCTGTAATTTTGTTACTGTTGTAAGTTATAATGTAAATATTTTGGGAGATATAGGTTTGTCACAGGTTGTGACCCTCTGGTTTAAGTGAACCAGAAAGACCACACATGAAACAAAACATTAAGAAACAATAAGTTTCCTAAGACATATGTACTTTGGGGGAATTTCATAAATATGGAACTCATGACAGACCAGAAAACCAAGTGAACAAACCACCACCATCCCTTTCTTACGTTTTCCTCCTTTCTCTGTCAGTTGTTTGTTTTGTTAGAGATAAACGCAGGGCCCTGTGCTTGATAAGCAAGCATCCTGCTACAAAGCTACACCCCATCCTGCTGTCCCATTATTAATGCTGTGAAATAAGAAAAGATTGATCATAATACCTCTGGGTGGCAAATCCATATCCCCTGATGTTAGTCCTATCAAGTTAGGCCTTTGCGCATGCACTCTGTGTCTATACATAGGTCTGGAAGTGTTTGTTATGCTTGGTGCTTCAGGATTGTAGCCATCTGTATCATATGTATCTGGTAACACAAAAACTGTAATTAAACAACAATTATAAAAAAAACATTTGGCAACTTTCAAACATTGATAATAGAAAAAACAAAAAAATAACTTATAATTAATTAAAAAACATAAAACTAATGTGTTTGAAATATATGACAGAGTTGTATAAAAACAGTTACTAATAGAAGTCCTCCAAAAGATCTTAATTGAGTGATTTAATATTAATTCATCAAGTCCACCTCACACTGTATAATTTTAATGAGAAATTTCTTCCCACATTTTTAACTGACTAGTTAGTTTTAAAGTAGAGATTGACATTACAAATTTAGAGGGGACCAAAACTGCACCTGCAGTAAAGAGAGAGGGTGGAGCAGGAGGAGGCTGGTGATGAATGCCGGTTGTTACTACAGTGGGGACAGAGCTGGTTGCAGAGTTAGGTGGAGCATCCATGCCAGATGGCTGTAAAGGAGGAAGTGGAGGAGGTGGTCCTGTCAAAACCAAAGAATAAGAAATATCATCTGAAAGCAAACAAATGAAATAAATTATTATACATTCAAGCCTAAAATGCTCTTTTATCAACTAAAATGTTTTCTATAAAGAGCAAGCTCTTATAAGTAAGCTAACTTTTTTACAGTAAATATTCTTTTTAGTCTATTCCAAAACACTTTGCTGTAAACTATAAAGACCTACAAACAAGGGAATATTATCCTAATGTATGCAAGCCACAGGCTGTTACAAATAACAGTAAGTAGTTTAGGAAAGGTGACTTGTACATGATATCCAAGTGGGGGTAGAATACTTCATTTCTACCAGGTTTACTTTAGAAATTATTAACAAAAACAAGTATGAAATTGCTAATTTCATAAAGACTATAAGTAAAAAAGACTAGGAAACAACTTAATCTACTGACCTGTGACAGGTGGCAGACTGGGTGGTAATGGACCTGGTGGTGGCACTGGGGGTCTGAGATTCACAGGGGGGGGTGTAAGAATTGGAGGAGGTGGAGGCAGCCCAGGAGGAGGTGGTCCTTCAACAACAGGCGGCTGCGCTGGAAAAGGCAACATCCCAGGCAGGTTCACATCTTCTACCACTACTGGATCACTTCCATGATCAAAAGGACACATGTCTCCTCTCATACAAAACCCCTTTTCTGTAAGTAAAGGATTATTAAAAATAAATGTGAAAAGCTCTGGAAATACAAATTATCTCTGAGTTAACAAACTGCAAATAAGAGTATTTTCAGTATTGGGCAAAATTATAATTTACACTTGCACAAGAGCTCTATTCATTCCCAGTAATATAAGCAATTATCAACTAATAATATGCCTAACAAACAAAATGAAAAAGAAAATTTAAATAAGCATAATACATAAAGTAATATAAACTTACATGCAACTTCCTATTTATCATTAGATAACACACTTATTACTTAAATCTCTCATTTTACACCAAAAACATATTGCAACTGTGCTTTCAATACTAAACACAATCTTTCATAGTAAATCCGTACGTCTGATTCTTCTGAAAAATCTTACATAGGATGTGTTTACTTCATAGGTCCTACATATACTTCAATAATCACCGATTTCATCAAAATGATTTCATCGAAAATGTTCAAGTGAGCAGATTCCTTGAAAGGTAAGTCAAATGGTAAACTCCAACAATATTATAAACACAATCTAAAGTGTTAATAGCAGTGGCCTAATGGGAGATGACATTATGGAATTCATAAAGTGAGAAAAGCTAATCTGTCCTTTCCATAGGTAACTCCTTTCGAATTATTATACAATCAAAGCAAATAAAATACATAAATACAAAATAAAGACAAAAATAGAAAAAATCCACTCGAGCAACTTACCATCATAATCTCTACACCGTTTCTTTGGCATTGGTGGCCTCACATAAGAGTTGTGATCTACCTGGTCTTCATGAAATTCAGACCAACTTTCGGTAGTGTTATTACCATGATGAGTAGGAGCAATTACAGTAATGGTGCTGCTCAAAGTAGGTACAGGATAGTGGCCAGATGAAATATTAGACACTGAAGAGACTGGTGTATAATTATTTTCTAATGGATCTGTTCTGTCCAGGTCATATTTAGGTTTCACCAGATCCCTTTCTGAAATAAAACATAAATAACTTGCAAAACTATATTCTTAAAAGAAATTACAGATCTTAAAAAAACAGTGTCAGTTTTTGCTAAACACACAGAACAGTTCAAACTTTCACAGATGTTCTCCTTTATAAGCTACTTAATAACTCGCTGATCAAAGTGTAGACATAAGTGACCGGAATGCTCAGCCCTACACGGACAGCTAGGTCCCTGCCTTTCCCAAATATCTGATGAGGAGACAGAAAGGTTGTAGAGACACAGTTCAGAAGACCAGTGTAAAATAGTGTCTTCTGGACACTGCATTCATGAATGCACAGCCAATATGGCTGCCTGCAGATCACGCTGACTCCAGCATAGAGAGAAGAGACTCAGGAGGCCCCACTCTAAGCTCAGGAGCTATCAGCTGCTGATGGCTGCGGGGGCAGGAGTCAGTATACTTCAGTAGCACAGCCTATGGTAAGCTGCCTGTGCTACAGTGGATGGTAATCTAGACTCATGCACATCTTGGAAGCACTAATTTGATTTGATGAAATATTTAAAATATTAAAAAACCTCAAATTGGAAAAGTGAGGGAAATAGATCTGGAAGGATCTGGGAGTATAATAGTAACAATATATTGTGTTCACATATAAAATAACCAAGAAATATTTTAAACTTTAAAAATAAAGCTGTCCAATAAATATACATTGTGCCAAGCTTAGTCAATATACTTCAAATAAAATTTTTCTTTAGTAGAAAAATTTAAAGAGTATTGGCAAGCCAGACTTGGTGGCACACACCTTTACTCCCAGCTCCTGGGAGGCAGAGGTAGGTGGACCTCTGTGAGTTCAAAGACAAACTGTTCTATCTAGAGTGTGCCACGACAGCCAGAACTACATACTTAGGCATTATCGTGAATGAAAGCAATAAATAAATAAGTAAATTTTTTTAGGAGAACATTCCTAGAAGCCAACCATGGAGATGCATGCCTTTTATCCCATTACACAAGGGGCAAAAGCATGCAGATCTCTGGATGTTTAAGGACAGCCTGGTGTACATAACCAGTTCTAAGCCAGTCAGGGATACACAGTGAGAACTTGTATTCAAAAGAAAAGAAAAAAAGATCAAAATTCATAGTAGGAGACTGAACAGAGGAGGTGCACACCTTTAATCCCAGCACTTGGGAGGCAGAGGCAGGCAAATAGGAAAGATAAAAGACAACACACTGAGCAGCATGGAAGGATTTTCAAAGTGGAGAACTATAACCAAACACGAACACATGGATTACTAACCCCGGCTTCGTGTCCGACTTCTGCTCCTCGTCCTGCTTCTATCTCTGTCCCGGTCACGAAGCCGCTCTTTACTCCAACTTCGGCTGCGACTCCTGCTGTAACTGCGACTTCTCCCTCGCCTTCTGTTATACCGGTCTCTGTATGAATCTCTTCGAGGAGGATTTCGATCATAATCTCTTTTGCGAGAACGATCGTCTTTTTTCCTCTCATCGCGGCTTCTAAAAAATGTATCATCACTTTTATGTGAATAATGCTGAAGTAAATGTAAGGAGAAAAAAACCCTTCAAATATGTAAGTTGTGTCATTATCATAATACAAACAAGGGCAACTTCAAAAATTGAAAATTCTGAGATTGCTTATTCTAAAAGCTTTTAAAAAGAAAAATCAAATCTCTTAATTCCTAGTCTTAGGTACAATATCTAGTCAATTATGTATCTACACAGAAGGCATCTACATGTGTCTTATATAACAAATAGTCTATACATACAATCACATTTACAAGTATCACTTATATCATACTCCAATCACTTTTGAAATCATAATAGGAAAAATAATTTAAACACACTAAAGGGAACCTTCAACCCCCAACCGCACTGTCCCAAAAAAACTTCCAAATAAAATCTCTCACTAAAAGTCACTGGATCTGAAGTTAGGGAAAGCAACATCAAGAGCAACCTATTCCAAATCTCACACTCAGCACATACACTGGACCTACATATTCTTGGTAGAAAAGGACCAACTACACTTTCCTGAACCAGTAAGAGAGCAGCAGTGCTGAGAGTGATGATGGCAGATTTCTGCAATATAATCCTAGCACTCAGGAGGATTGCCATGAGTTGTATGCCACCTAACTAGCAAGATTCTAGATTAAAAAAAAAAATCCAAAAGAACAAAGAAAATATAAATGCTACTTATCCCTATGTAAAATATAGCCTAAACAATAAAATATGAAAACTAAGCAAATCACCTGTTGTCTCTGTAGCGGGAGCTTGACTGGGGAGGACTATGATTCAGCCTTCTGGAAAACTTCTTCTCTCGCTCTTCCTCCTTTGTGAGCTAAGATATATATATATAAATAAAAGGACAACTTTACCAACAGCAATTCTTTGCTATGTTATTATTTAAAAGACTTGATATTAAGCTTAATTTATATACTAGAAATACAAAACTATAATCACAATTTCAAGCAAAATTAATTTCTCTACCAAATACCCTTTAACCTGTAACCTGTAATTGTCTGTCTAAAGTTAAACTGAATAATAGTCATAAACCCTTACTTTAGATAATTGTGGCAAAAAAAAGAAATGTAAACAAATGTCTTCAATTTAACATTTGAAAGCCAATTACTTCAAAAGTCTAGCATACATCCATACTTCTGTTTCATGGACTCGGTCTGACATCATAGAACAGAGAAGACATTAGTACTAATCAAGTCATAAACAAAAAAGACTACGTGAGAATATACAAAATGAAAGTTTATTTAGAATAATATACATATAATAATACAAAACAAAACTGTCATTTTAGAGCATCTTGTCAGCTATATATTACTGTTTCCTACAGGCTCTATTCATATTTTATAGTTACTATAAAGCAATTACAGGAATATGCCTTTAGTCATTACTACACTATCTGAATTATACTTCTCACAATACTATCCCGTAGGACATTAGTATAAGATTAGAAAGAATTTAAAGTTAGACATCTTAGAATGGATTAGTAAGAAGGAAAAAACCAAAAGCCACAGCCACGTCTCCCATAGAACAAGAATCTTCCAACAGTAACGGTACTATCAAGTTTACTAATTGCTATATATACATTATTTTTTTGTTCATCACTATAACCCTGCAACATTTCCATTTTACAGATAAATAAAACAAAGCTTGGAAATTACATTTTCAACATTATACCAAAATTTTTATAAGATTGGTATGTAGGGCCTACAGAGGTGGTACAGAGGATAAAGGCATATACTGCTCTTGTCGAAGACCTGAGTCTGCTTCCCAGCACCCATGTGAGGCAACTCAGAGATACCTGTAACTTCAGGACATCTGATCGTGGGCATTGGCACTCATGCCCACACAGACATACAAGCAAAACATCATCAAAAATAAGATTTTTAAAAGGATAGGCTGGGGTCAAGTGTGGTGACATACAACTGCAGCAGGAGGCAGAGCTAAGAGAATTATCAAAGAACTGGAGTTTCAGTCAAGCTAGGAATATATAGTCCCTGTTCCAACACTTTTTAAAGTAAAACTAGCTGAATACAAAAAGTATAGTATGAATGCCAGATACTGTTTTCTCTGGCACAATTGTCCTCGGTCATCTTGATTTTTACCAAAGTGAGAAAATCCTAATTATTAAGGTTATTAAGCAAATGGAAACACAAATTTTAAAATGTAATTTAAAACTTCCAAAAAATCTTAAGTATAAAGTCATTTCCATTGCTTTGTGAAAGTTCCTGTTTGACTATGTTGAAAATATTCTGACTAAACATATGAAGAGCAGACACAGTACATTTCCTGTTATCCTGATGAGTTTCACAGAACAACTATAGGATTCCATAACCAATAGAGTTGAAAGCAGACTTAGAATGCTAAGTTTTAAAAGAGCCTACATATAAGACTGGTTGATCTTCAGCTACCTTCTGAAATTTTGGTATCTATACGGTCCCCACCATTTCTTGATAAGGATGGCTCACTGTACTGTCTTTGCGAAAACACAATAGTTTATGCCAACATGTGCTTTTCTCTTAGGAGTCTGGAATTTTGTTATATGTTATGTAGTAGGTGCCTACTCCAAATAAAAACTGAGCACAGCTGCTCTTCCAGAGGACTCAGGTTCAATTCCCAGCATCTACATGGTGGCTCACAACCATCTATAACTCCAGTTCCGGGTGATCTGAAACCCTCTTTTGTCTTATATGCACTAGGCACACACATGATACATAAACACCTAGGCAAAACATCCATAAACACAATGAGATAATTTTTTTAATTCAAAAAAGTAAGTACAAAGTCTCTGATTTCTTCCTTACAATACGTCTTGCTGCTATAACTAGTCTCGAGGGGAATTAAGCATATTCTATGTGACTCCAGTGAGTCTTGACACTTGCACTAATTTTCCACCAGATTTCCTCGCAAACCATTTTTCTTTGGTAACTTTTAACTCTTTTGTATTAACTAAATCATTGCCATGATTACAACTAAATTCCTAGTTCACGAATTACTCCTAGAGAAGTCCCTGAACTTAGGAACAGGTATTTAGGATGCACAATAGAAAAATGCAGAAAACTTGACTAATTATTCCTTCAATGAACTTAAGGAACCAACACAACATAACAAATTCTCACCTCTTCTTTTTTTATATCTTTTTCTTGGTGCTGAAGAAAGTCTACCTTCAGGCTTCCTGACGATGGTTGCTCTGGAGGAGGTAGATAACTCTTTGTATTCACAGCATCAAAAAGCTTCTCCACAAATATCTGTGTCTCTAAAAATAAAATCAAAAAGTTCACAGAACAAAATATATTCAGTAAGACTTTAATTCCCCTGTTCTACACAGCAAGTTCCCTAACATCCTGATCAATAGCTTTGCCAAGCAGTGTATAATGGTACAAGTTCCATGACAACAATTCATCATATTTCAAGACTAGAATGACAAGTTTCTTGGCCAGTTGCTTCCATCCATGACTATTCTTTGACATGTAGGACAACCAATATATAGATACAAGAACTAGTCATTATCTAGATGTGGAAAACGTATAACAAAGTTGAAAAGATGCCTTATACAACATTCCAGGACATTTTCTTAGTATTGTCTAAAATAGGCAGTCATTTCCTGAATATGTTAGTCTATGTTACAAAACAACTATAAAAGATACTGAGGAAACACACACACACACACACACACACACACACATATATATAAAATCAGTAATATGTGTATTCAATATTGTTACAGCTAAAAGCTTTGTTACAACGAGGGGCTAAATTCCTTTAATATTCAACCCATAATCTTATTTTATATAACTTACTCAAAAAGTATTTTAAAACTAAAGGTGTTACCTTTCTGAAGAAATACATCAAGCTGATCAATACATAATGCCTTTAGTTCCTTTTCACTTTTGTCTTTCTTTACCAAAGCCAAAACATATTTTGCTAGGGCTGATGGATCGGCATCACAGCTAAAGGGAAAAAGAAAAATTTGAATGAAACTTAGCCATAAATGATTTCACAGTCTATAACTGAGTTAAAACTTGCAAAATATAATTGAGTTAATATATGTAAAAACACCAGGCTCATGAAAGGTCCTGAATGAATATATTTTCCTTATGTTAATATATTTTACATGCTACATCACTTCTTAAAAACATAATTTCTTAAAAGAATGTCACTGGGATTGGAGAGATGAATTAGTAATTAAGAGCACTTGCTCTTGAAGTTCCTAGTTCAGTTTCCATAATTCAAATGGAGGCTCAAAACCATCTGTAACTCCATCTCATAAGGATCAAATACCTCTTCTGATCTCCAAGGGTACCGGGTATGCATGTGGTACACACATATATAAACAAAAAATGACAAACCACTCTATACATAAAAAAATAAACCCACACAAATAAATAAATAAATAGGTGGATAAGTAAATCACCCCACACACAACACATATAATGGCAGAAAAGTCTAGAAATTGAATCAAATGCATTAGGAATTTATATTTTATAAAAATAGCATTCAAGCAGTATGCAATTTGGTAACTATCTTTAAAAACCAAGTTGGGGGGATAGAGAGATGGCTCTGAGGTTAAGAGCACTGACTCTTCTTTCAGAGATCCTGAGTTTAGTTCCCAGCAAGCACATGATGGCTCACAACGACCTATAATGAGATCTGGTGCCCTCTTCTGGCCTGCAGGCACAAATTCAGGCAGAACTCTGTACACATAATAAATAAGTAAATCTAAAATAATGGTAGGTTAGATTTTAAAAATCACATTAAATATGAAAGTAGAAACATGAACCCACTATAGAAAATTACTAGCATTAGAGAAAAACCTGAATCATATTATAATACAAAATTCTTGTCAGCAAAGAGTAATACCATTGTATAAAAAAGTCTTCAGAATAAAGAATCAAAAAAATATGACTAAAAGCTCAATAGTTAAAACAGTGGTTTTCAATCTTCCTCATGTTACAATACAGTTCATGCTGCTTCCCAACCATATAATTTTTGTTGCTACTTCATAACTGCAATTTTGCTATTGCTATGAATTATAATGTAAATACCTATGTTTTCCAATGGTCTTAGACGACCCCATGAAAGGGTCCTTCAACCCCCAAAGGGGTCACAACCCACAAGTTGAGAACCGTTGAGTTAAAACAAAAAGACAAATTCCTCAAGCACTAAGTTTCTATAATTAAGATTAACTCAGTAACACAGGCAGGGAATTGGGGAGGAATGTCCATTTAAAGAGAACTAGAAAAATTAATTATATTAAATTCACATCAGGGAACAACAGGCAACAAAATAGTCAAAAAGAATATACTTAAAAAAGCAACTTCTTTAATATAAAAAAACAACGTACAGAAAAGTGTAAACAATATGCTACTATTTGTAAGGAAGAGATCATATACATGGACTGTTACAAATAAATAATATATATGCATAAGTATAAACTAATAATTACAGTTACTTGTATGAGGAAGCGTTGGTGTGCTTCAATAAAGGAGAGACTGGGTCAGAAAGGAATGCTCTAATGCTGGAATCATGTTTTTCCAACTCAAAAACTAAATAAAACGTGTTATTTAATTAAGGATCACTTAACAAATTAAAGAACAAAATAATAGCAGTAGCTAGCTTTATTGAACTCATTCTATTCCATAAACTAGGCTAGCTCTACTATTATATGGAAAGCTCTCACTTCACTGAAAAAACTAAGGTGAGTAGGAAAAAGTTAAGCAGGTCCCCTAAGACTATTAAACAAGTATAGTGAATGAGCCAATATTTAAAACCAAACTATTCTACTCTAACGCTCACACTTTCTAACCACTGTGAAGGATTCCCTCTTTACAATGAAATGACTCTACATGACGAGTGTTACAACCACCAACTCCTATGCACCTCCCATATTATTTTCTGTAAATATCCTCCTGAGCTTTACCTCTCAACAGCCTTAGTTGCAACCCAAGTCGGTTCCCTTAGCTCACATCCTGCACTCTATCTTTCCCACCTTATTTCTCAAAGACAACTATTTCACAATCCTCTGAATTCCTCAAACTCCCACACCCATGCCTTTAAAGCCTCCAGGATCCTTACCATCCACTCAATGAAATCCTAACTCAGAAACAGATACCTAGCATGAATTTAATGTAAAGGCTTAGCACAAAAACAACTACTTAATTCATACCAACAATGTAAGTAAGAAAGATTGTCTTTAAAGATACTGATGACACAAAAATTTAGCAGTAACTTTTAAATATATATGATATTAAAGGATCAAAGCAACAAACCAAACAAAGCTAGGTACAAACCTTTAGTCCTAGCACTCAGGAGGTAGAAGCAGGTGGATCTCTGAGTTCAAGGTTAGACTACAGACAGCAGTTCCAGGACAGAAAAGATTACAGAGAGACCCCTGTCTCAAAACAAAAATACAAAAGCTGGGGAGATGGCTCAGTCCACAAAGTGTGTGTTGAGCAAGCAATGAAGACCTGAGTTCAGATATCTAGCATCCACATAACAATAAATACAAAAATAAAAACCAAAAAATACTGTCATGGCATACTTAGAACCGCAGCACTTTGGGGACAGACACAGGCAGATTCCTGTAGCTATGGCCAGCTAGTCAACCTAACCAAATCAATGAGCTCCAGGTTTGGGGAGAGATCCTGTCCCACACACAACATACACACACTCACATAAACACATACATACACATTCCCAAAAAAAAATACAACATTTACTATCTATATTGCAAGGAATTCTCAGTCTACATCACAGGTAATTTTAAAATAATATCCACCAGCTCTTCATTCCTCCCTTCCAAGAGTTGCCACCTAATTCTCTCCTCACTTGAGTAGTAGATCAGTTTATGCTTATGCATGGCAGATTTTAAGGTATGTCTTACTTATGGGCTGTGGTAAAAATGGCATTGTGGCATCTCCCTTGCTTTTTCTATGTCACCTTTTTAATCATATTCAATATCCAAAAGCATTCAAGCAGTATTATGGAGACTATCCTAAGGCAATAAATGAAATTAGGGCGCAAAGCAAAATGCAAGCAGTACATGTAAATAGGCCTCAAAGCAGATTCTGAAGTTCCAAGGAAACCTAAGTTTTACTTCCAACAGTCTGACCACAACCCCATGAGAGAGAAAAATATCCAACTAGCCTAGTCCTAAATTCCTGACTATAAAAACTTTGAGATCATAAATGCCTGCTTTGTTGCTAAGTGTCCTGATATCTTGTTACTCAATAACTATAAATCTATTTTCTCATAATTCTACTTCCATTTTCAAGACTTGAAGTTAGTTACAATAGAAATGGGGGAACATTTTTAAATGGTACATGGGAAATTTTATGAAAACCTATTTTCAAAACTTCCTTTGGACTAGATAAATGACTTGATGGTTAAGAGCACTGAACATTCTTCCAGAGGTAACAAACTCGATTCCTATCACCCACGTGAACTTGTGTACAGATCAGAACTGAGTGCAAGCATAGAAAAGACAGTCCAGGCCAACAGAACCCAACAGAAAGAACCCAAGGTTTGGAAAGAGTTGACACCAAAGAAAGATTCCAGCAAAATGGAATAAAATAAACATAAAATATCTGAATTACCCACCAGATTAACAGTTTCAGTGACTTTGGATGAATTATTCAGATTATTATGGCCAATCACAAAATTACTTAAAAGTCTAAGAATAAAACTTCATCACTATCTGAATAAACCTTAATAAAACTACTAAGAAAACACTTTTAGTTTTAAAACTAGTGGAGTTGCAGAGGTCCAGCTTCATACCACTCATTAAAATCACAGGGATGGAGGCAGTGAGAGGGCTCAGTGTGTCAAAGTAACCTAGCAAGCTGCCACAGGCACACGATGACAAACATGCCCATACACATATACACAGAATTTAAACATTTTGCAAAATGTAAAAAGAAAGCATATAGTTATTAAGAACATTAGTCTCTTCTAGATAGTAAGAAGGAAATTATTTATACTAAATGATGGCATTAAAAGAAATGGAGAAAACCAATAAAATTCTTGAAAATAATTAAAGTGTTTTAATAAATTTAAACTAGAATCAGACTGAGCCTAAAAAAAAAAAAAAAGCTACAAGCAATTCTCTAACACGATCATCGTATTTGTATTTTAACTTAATGATGTCAGATTGGTAAAAACAGTACAGAAAACACTGGCATTCTAATATATATGGCTGTATTTCAAGACAGAGTTTCTCAGTATATCCCTGGCTGTCCTGAAACTCAGGCTCTAGACCAGGCTGTCCTTGAACTCAGAGATCTGCCTCCCTCTGCAGAATGAAAGGCATGTGCCACAACCACCCAACTTCTACTACAGTATTTTTAGGATTTGCCCTGTTCAACTATCCTAAATTTTTTAGAATTTCAGTGGAAGATAACCGATGAAATTTAACCCAAGTTTTCATTTGTGAGGAGCTGGAGAATACCTGGGGTGGGAATTAAAACTGAAATAATCTCAACAGCTTTAGAACATAGTTACAAACCCACATCTGCTCTGATCAATTTTTTATTTTATATTCATGAAAACCATTTAATTTGTAAGTCATAATTCTATATTCTCTACTTAGGATTAGTCTTTCAAAAAACTCAAATTTCAAATCAGGCAGTGGTGGCGCACACCTTTAATCTAGCTCTTATGGATCTCTGTGAGTTCAAAGTTCCAGTTCTAGAGCTACACCAAGAAATTCATGTCTCAAAAAAAAAATCAAAAACAAACAAGAAACAAATTTCATGGCAAAATACATAATATATAAAATATGAATTTTAATTACTATAGCTTCATTATACTGTTTTATTCAAATAAACTACAAATATTTGCATATAATTTACTTACAATAAAGGTTAAGAATTATGAAGCATCTACATTACAAAATAAGATTATAAAACATATTTATACATTCTTTACATAAACATCAAAATCCATTTTT